CTAGTAATTTTTGGGGCCCTTTATAGCTTGCTGTTCGGTGTGAGCCAAGGCTCCGTGTTGAAGACCGTACTTTGACCTTTAATGGTTTACTTTTATAAATTTTGACTTGGATGGAGAGTTGTCTCATTGGCACTCATACCACATCTTCTTATATCTATTTAGTCAATCGAAGCTTATGTATAAACACTATAAATTTCACTGTGATATATGTATGTGTGACGACAACTAAATTGGATCCTAGGATTCCAAGAAAGTTGAAATTCGATGAAAAGAAATAGCAAACGTTAAACACATCTTTTTTAGAGATTATTTGTGTGTAAACTTGGCCACTGATTCAAAAACTGTACATAAAGTATCAGGTTCTACTATGATCAATTATTTATTTTATGTACAAAAAGTGCACGATATTTCTATTCTGTAAATTATTTACTTCAGTCTGTATAATCAGTGGTTTTTAGTTAATCGTTTTTTTTGCATAAGTATTTTTTTCATATTTTAGCACCAAATAATTTTTTATTCTTTATTTTTTTTTGCCCATTTTTCTCTTTTCATTTTTTGTTTATCTTTTATTCTCTATTCTATAAACCCCATCTAGACCCGGGACGGCATAGACGGCCAATAGTGAGTCACGGGCAATCATTATCAGAAGATATTATCGATTAAAAACAGTGAAGCGGAGCATGAAACACCAAATTTAAGAGTGATCGAAGTTTTTCGGAAGCAAACAGTATTTTCCCTAAATTGTTACCGCGTTCTTTCGTTAACATTTTAGACAGATATTAACTACGAGTTAAACATGTCAGATTTCTTCAGAACTTTACTGTTTGATATATTGGATACGCATTGAACTAAAAATGATAATTTAGCATTACATTTTAATCAGACAATGCAAAACATCTACATACAGATTAATACATGACTTTTCCAGTATAAATAAAAACAAACAAACAATCAGTTTATAACTGAGGCATCTGCACTTCCATATATATTTCCAGTAATACAGCTGGAATTAAGCAGACCCAGGCTGACAAAGGGTTGTACAGGGTTATCAGGGTCGCACAAGGAAGACTGGATAAAGTCATATACTCCTTCATGCCTCGTATGCTGATATGGATTGCCGACCTAGACCTACATGTCTTGAAGATCCTCCTTCATCAGACGTGTTAGTTTTATGGTTAACTTTTGGAGAATTGCATAATAAGCTGCCAAAGTTTGAATGTAGAGTGGTCGTAGGCAGACGATTTATACAGCGAATATTGGCACCCCACTCTATAAGTATGTGATTACGTCCTTTTTTCAATTTGGAAACAATGTGCATTGAGTTTATACTTACTTTAAATTAGTTAAAGGTAATTACGGTTTTTAGTAATAGCCTCAAATCAGAATAATCAGTGCAAGACCGTTTGAAGATTGTGATTATACAAACTAGACGTTTCGATATAACTCCCGAGTTATTTTATCTGTAGCTGTTTGTTCTATAAAGAAATATAAGTGTCGTGCTTCGACTCTGCTCAACATTTGGGCCTTAAATTTAGATATAATCCGACCAATTACATTTTCAGTTGTCACTAGGTGTCTATCGATCAGTCAATCTTTCAATGGCATATCTTAGAGATTTACGAGGCTGCCGTCAAATTTTTTATTTTTTGGTTTATGAAAATAGCAAAAATCGATGTTTGAAAGGTAAAACTCTCTTTCTTGAATCTTTATAGTTTTTACGTATGCATGGGTATCCTTTTGTAATTTTCTGTTAGCGCCTTAGGTGTCAGGGCAAACCTATTTTTTGCCCAACCACTTTTTGGCCAAAAATAAAAGGAAAACTAGATATGGACAATGCCCCCCCGCCCCCCCTTTCTGCTCTGTCATATGCATGAGTATAGATCCACATATTGTATCTTTGACAAACAGTGAAATTGTTACGTTGTCTGTAAGACACAAATGATGCCCCCGCCTGACCATAGGAAATTATAAATTTAACACTATGTATGATGATGTAACTGTAGGAGGCGATAGCCGCACAAACCACGATCTCTTTATGCAGATACCAAAAAAATGACTAAGTCCAACTACTTGTCATTTTCAGGAATATTTAAAAGAAATCAAAATCCTGTGGCCATGCACACCTCTATTATGTGTATGAACATCCTACAACATATTAAAGCTGTACCTTCAAAACTGTAGGAGGAGATAGCCGGACAAACAATGTATCATAATCCGGACGGACGGATGGGCAGGGGTAAATTAATATGCCCCTCGACATTTTGTCGCGGGGGCATAATGAAAGAGGACATTGACTTACTTCCTCGTCCTGACCGAACGTCACTGCGTACTTGAACATCCATCACTGCCAAACGGACGCCCCACTTTGACAAGGAATTTATTGCATGTCGGAAGGAGATCGAAGTGACCAATAAGTAGTTGTTCGAAAGTGACAAGCAAAAAAAAAAAAAAACAAACAAAAAGCATGAAACAAAAACAAAACTACAAGCAAAAAAACACACATACATTAGTCCTCTTTTTATTTTAATTTCTTTAATTTTCTATAAAAAAAATGTTTCAATGAGTAGTTGACAAAGACATATTGGCTATTATCACCAAAAATATCAGTTAATTTGCCGAAATTTTCAAAGGCTCTTACTGAAGTTTTTCCATGACTTAAAGGGAGATTCATAACAGTAGAGAAAAAAATCGACAGTCCTAGGTCCCACGGTAGATATAGTTACCATTGGGGTCCTGATTTATACTACCATATATATATATATATAGTTTTACAATACAAAAAGTAAAATAACAAAAATACCGAACTCATAAACGGAAAGTCCTTAGCAAATGGCAAAATCAAAAGCTCAAACACACCAAACGAATGGAAAACAACTGCCATATTCCTGACTTTGTACGGGCATTTTCCTTTATAAACCTGGTTTTACAGCTAGCTAGTCCTCTCATTTGTATGACAGTCGCATAGAATTCCATCATATTGACAACAATGTGTGAGCAAAACAAATAGACATAATAGGGGAAAATGTCAAAAATTGGGGTACATCAGTCGACATTGTCACGGTTATAATCTTAATCACTATATAAAATCAAACAACTATGTCAACAAAGATAAACAAAATGGCATATAGACACTATATAGACGACCGATATCAATTTGCGCCAGTAATGAAATCATTTGCGCCACAACTTGTTTGCGCCAAAGCTACTTCTGCGCCACTCCATTAAGAAAAATATAGGCTTCATTTGCGCCAATAAAACAACCATACCATTGCGCCAATTTTATTTATTTATTTTCACTTTTATATAACTACTACTGATTGACTCCCTCCTCCTTTATTCCGGCTTGCGACCGGCAGTTTTTATACAAAAAAATACACTGAATTAAAACGTTCACTCATATATACAACTTGCAGTCAAAACTATCATCATATGTCTTTGTTTAACATAAACCAAAGGTTATTTGTAACTTAAAAATAGAAACATATTCCTTTCTGCTCACTTCTCCTCTCACTATTTTTTTGTACTTTATTAGAGCAAAATGATTTGTTTTCCCAAGATCTCCATCTAATCTCCCCACTTTTCTTAATAAATTCCTGACGGAATTCGTGATCTTCTACAAAGATGATAGGTTTCTCTTTATAGTGAAAAAACTATTTTATTACTGAACAATTTATTTATTGGTGAGTTTTCTTAATTTTGATGAGTATTCATTTTAGTAGATATGTAATTAATCATAGTACATGTGACATGTATAATAGGTAAAAAAAAATATTCAGGTAAATGTGGCGCAATTTAAATCCATTTATTGGCGCAATTAATACCATAAGAAAAATAGAGACTGGCGCAAGTAATATCCTTTCAAAACTGTAATTAGCGCAAATTGATTCTGGCACTATAGACCGTCTTTGAAAGCACATAAGCAAAATATGAAAGACAGGAATACAAAAAAAAATGACTATCGCACAATAACACAAAGGTATATATACCGAGCCACACCAAAAGGATATTACCAAAAATGGACTAAACAGTCAAGGTTAAAAATATACAAAGACAAATAAAAAGAACAGAACAACACGTAATTAAGACGATAAACAACGTCAGTACCTAGAATCTATACTTCAGACCATCATGTATTATTTTTGAATACGGAATTGTTATCAACAGGGTCTTGGCATCTTCTGATGAACTTTTTAACGGTTGTGTCAATGTATATTTGTTCCGCTTAACAGAAGTTCCTCTGGAAACTTTGTCAGAATAAACAATGTCATAATATCTGTTCCTGTTGGAACAAATATTCTATACCATTTATTCCGTTAGGAACATTTAATGAAATATTTATTCCAGTCGAAATAATATTCCAGAATATTGTTTCCATTTGGAACTTATATTATGAAGGAACTCCTATTCCGTGACAGTGGGAGAGGGATTTATAATTTAACTTTGAAAATTAAAATCGTCTCGTTTGTCATAGATTATGGTTCTGAGATGACCGCTTATGTCAAATTAGTGGTATAAGTCTAAAAACTAGGCAGAGGAAGTCGTGTCTGTTGTTTCTGTAATTTCTAGTTCTGGGGGATATATTAATGGAACGGCCCAATTAGAAAAAATTGGCCTGATTGATGATGGAAAGAACATCATCAATACATCTGAATGTGAAATTAAATGATCTGGTTTCTTTTACCTTCTTAATTTTGACATATGCCTGAAGGAACTCCGACTCATGTGAAAATAAGAAGAGGTCGGCAAGGAGAGGCACACACAGTTCGTTCCCATAGGAATGCCGACAACTTGTGTAAAATTTGGCAATAACGAACAAAAAAATTGTCAAGAAAGAAACTTTAAGTCGGAGAGAAATAACTATGTTTACTTGCCAAAACAATCTGATTTTATAAATATATGAATAATATATGAATCAATATGACCAGATTGTGAAAAGATTGGATTTATGTAATTACTTCCCTTGCTTACCAATCTTCTAAAATTAAGTCAGAAAAAGCAGAAACGATCAAAACAAAGTCATGAACTTCACTCCTCCTGATAAGTTTGCAGAAGAATGGAAAAAGCGTATTTCAGACATTTCAAATTCAGAAGTAAAGACGGTAAACGATTTTGAAATTGAATTAGCAATTAGTATGCATTCATATGTATCTAGGAAAAGTGTATACAAGTCAGTCAGAGTCAGAGACCACAAAATTATAGTCTGATTATCTGATAAAGATGTATGGTGGTCAAAATAGGGTTCAATATATATTATTTTGTAGGGTTTTAGCAGTAAATATTCGAGTGAATTGTTGAAGAACTTTAGAATCAGATCTGTTAGACTTGTCGTTGTGACATGTAAGTTTTGAAGACATCCCACAAGGGGTCATGATCAGATAATCTATAGTATACACACCAATCTCATTTTTTTTTATGAATGAGTTACAGCGGTTAGACCAGTTGACAAAGAGTTCAATCAGGGTAAATGACATCATTGAACAACATGTTCTTCCTGTGAGGTAATAACATAAGCATTGTAGGAAATGTATGGGAAAGTGCACGAATTTGAAAGTGTTCTATTAGAATAATCAAATCATTCCCCACAAAAGTTGGTATTATTGACTCTTGACTATCTTTAAAATTGTTGGCAAAAGTGTAAAATATTTCCCAATAGAAATTAGAAGTTCTAAGTGTATAAGGCCAAAAAAAAATATATGTCTGTATACGGTTAACCGACCGTCCCTACTTTTGAGCGCCGACCCCAAGTCATTTTATTTCCATTGTAAAGTGAAAAATAAACTGAACTCGTGTCAAAAGCAAAGTTAGTGTTGCAAATAATATAAATCAATTGCCTGATACATCCTAATGTTCACAATCATGAATATGACAGCTGTTTTAAGGAAATTCGCAACTCGTGTGATGAAATAAAAACTCTGCCGCCATTTTTTCCAAGGGAAATAATCCAATCATTAAAAATACGGGTAAACTCGGCCCATGATCAACTCGGACCACGACAAGACAAAACGGCATGAATCAAAATCATGTCACAAAAAAAAAAATATAATGGAAATACCGACCTACCTACCCTATTTTTTTAAAGTACAAATGTATGTAACCTTAAACAGACATATATTTTTTTTTGGCCTAATTATCTGACATCGTTCTGATTTTATGCTCCAACCATACCTGATTGCAACAGTCAAGTTTCATTCTTTTATTCTTTTATTCACATTGAATATTTGATATCATGAGTCTGACATACAACATTTAATTATAATATGAGGCAGGTGTTACCTGTGTAAAGGGTCAAAGTCGGTATTATTTTTAATAATCAAAAAAGATACAAATTTGGTAAAAATTGTATGCTTTACAACATAATAATAGGCTAAGCTATATTGGCACAAAACAGTCCACTATGATAATTCAGTATTGGAAGTCCTGTCTCTTCATCCAACCCTAGCTATTGTATCAACATCAACCCAAGATGTTGCTAGACTAATGTGAAATAAAGCTGGTGATAGGAACGAACCTACCATCTACAAAATACAAGAGCGGCATTCAATCAGAATCAAGTGGATCCCACATGTCAGCTTTGTTATGAAGATCCAGAAATGCTAGAGCATTTCTTCACGAATTATACTGCCCTGGCATCCGAACGCATATCATACCTGCTTATAATGTCTGTGTATGCTAAATGTGCTCCAAAGGACATTGCTAGAGTAGATCTAGATTCACTATGTATATTAAACCTAAGTGCTGTATTTGTGGTTGTTGTTGTAACTGTAACTATACTCAAAAGCTAAACCTGCTTGGACATCTTAGCTGTAGATAGTGCATATCACTGCATGTTGACAGAAATAACATTCTAAATGCTTTCCCTATTAGCAAGAGAAAGAACTAATGGCAGCCACCCCTCTGTAAAATATTTTCCCTCTTAAACAAATATATTTTACATTCGTAATGTACTCAACAACAGTGTGAATGGGCAAGTACAACTTGTGTTTAAATAATGGTAACGATTTTGGATTAAATTATAATTAACTACATGTAGTATACCTTTATCTATTTGAGTTTTGTGTAATGTGTTGTGAATTTATTCAGTAACTAAATAATAAAAAAGAAATACATCAATGGAACTCTTATTCTTTAATATTTGTTTTATAATAAACTGTGAGTGTCTTTTCTTGGTGAAAATCAACCACAGGTGAGTCTTCTGCCTCTCTATGTATTGGCAAAGTGTTCTCACTCAGCTGAAAAAACTCTTCAAAGCCCTCTGTAAGTTTCAGAGTCAACTCTTATTTTGAGGTGTCTCATGAAATATCCAGAGTTATCTTAAGCAGAGGTAATGTTCTTTTTATACTCTTATAATTCACCTAAACAGTAGTGAACATAGTGGCAGAGGAATTATTGCTCTGTGAAGGGCAATGTGTTGAACTTTATTTAATACATAATACAGGTGTGAAATTATTTGAAGTATTAAGATAAGATAAGATATTTTATCCGCATAGAATACAACAATAGCATTGATACCAAATAAAACAAATCGAAAACACAAACATTTAACATAGACAAAAATTTGTTTTAGCTTTATTTATTTTTTAAATGTGTGACAACATGTCACCTCCCAAGTTTGCATTTAAATCATTCTAATTATTTAATATTATAGAACAGAGATAAAGAAGTATATATGCTGCATACCTCTATTGTATTTATTCTTATACATGTACTATGTTGATGTAAAGAACAAAAATGTCCCATTATTAATATACATATCAAACCATACATGTAAAATATACAAGCCATGCACATCTGTTATGATTGTTTTTATTCTACCCCCGCTTTAAAAAGTGGGGGTACACTGTTTTACCTCTGTCTGTCCGTCGGTCCGTCTCATGAATATTTTTCATCACATTTTTCTCAGGAACTACATCATAAGGATTTCTGAAATTTGGTTTCAGGGTTTATATAAATCAGCTATACTGTGTGATGCGTTTTCAAATTCATCACTCAACAACTTCCTGTTTACCAAACACTTACATCATTTTACACATTACATCCTAGTAGTTGAAAATTTTCGTCACATTTATCTCAGGAACTACATTACAAGGATTTTTGAAATTTGGTTTCAGGGTTTATATGAGTCAGCTTTACCCTGTGATGCGTTTTCAGATTCATCACTCAACAACTTCCTGTTTACCGAAATATTTGGGCGGGGGTATCATCAGTGAGTAGTAGCTCGCAGTTTCACTTGTTTATTCTGTAACAATACGTCATATATTAAGACATTTTCATAAAATTTGCAACAAATTTCTCATGTAAAATCATTTTATCCATAAGCATAGTTTCCAGGTTGAAAATTAAAAAATATACTGAAACAAGGGAGGTTAATCTAAATGAATCATTATAACAAATGTTTTATTGGGCTGTAAAAAATACAAATAATACCTTGGGGTGAGATGACAGAACATTTTTAACAGTAAGTTTGATGACCAAGCATCAGATAAAAAGCTTTCTCTAATTTTTACCCAATTTATCCTTTTCCTGATCTGTATTTTTTTTTTTAAATCAAGGTGTGGTTCGTTTGATCTCAATTATTCATTGGTCAAAATTTGATTATCATGTCAAATTTTCTTGCTTTCCTCTGAATATCCTATTCTGATGTCATGAAAAATTTTTAGATATTTAAAAAGCTTGGCAAGCCTCGTGTTTTGAATTTGAAAATTTAACTGTCACAAGTGGATAAATATCATATCACACTAGATGCAGTGGTAGATTCTATATTTAAAAAATCAAAATAATTATGAATTATTTGTAACGAACTACCACTTTATTGGCCTGTGTCCAACGGTGAACTCAAGTAAAATTTCCAAAGTATAATTGGTCAGCACTTGGATGGTGATCAGTGAAGCCATACATTGTTATCCCAAGTAATGAAAAATCCCCAAATCAATTAAAACATAAAAGAATGAGGTTATGACTATCAATTAATCTGATTTAATCCAATCAACAGCAGGTTACCATCACCAGATCAAACCATCACATCACGTTCTGTAAACAATCAATGTGCAGCTGAAATTTTACCTGGAATTTTATACTGCTGGGATAAAATTAATCCAATATTATACAATTTTTGACCGAAATTGATAGCACCACGGGACAGATATATCTTACAGTACCAAACAACAAAAATATAGCACCATGAGCCTGTGGAGAACACTAGATCATATCTGCAGAACTTGCACACCTGTACAAACAAATCTAACAGATAGTATAGATCATAGATTTGAACTATTATCCGAATACATGACAAGATTAACCCTTTTCATTTTTAACCAATTTTCCGAAGGAAAAATCCAGTTATTAATTTGGTGAGATGTGGTGGACAGGGGGGCTGCTGTTTCCTTGCAAAAAGCTATGAAATGTCCCGGCAAATGCTTTTCAAATTTTATAATGTTACTGATGACAAAATTAAGGTCAAGATCGCTAATGACGATTTTCACCTTTACTGTTGAGGAGTTATTGTCCTTGATATATTTAACTTGTTTCCGTTCAATAACTTATGAATCCTTTCACCAATGATTTTTAAATTGTAATATGTATATGTTACTAATGACAGAATGTAGGTCAAGTTTGATATTGAAGATTTTCACTTTTATTGTTCAGGAGTTATGGTCCTTGATAGATTGGAAAATGGCACTTTATGTTGTTTCCATGCAATAACTTATATGAACCATTCAACAATTGATTTTCAAATTTTAATATGTTGTTACTGATGACAAAATGAGGCCAGGTATTCACAACTTGTCTAGACTCATGGCAAATTATAGTGTGAGTGCAAGATTTTTGTACATACACTTAAGTAGACACTAGACTCATGGCAAATTATAGTGTGAGTGCTACATTTTTATACGACCGCAAAAAAGTTTTGCGGTCGTATATTGGTATGACGTTGGCGTCGTCGTCGTCTGAAGAACATTGGTTTTCGCACTCTAACTTTAGTTTAAGTGAATGGATCTCTATGAAATTTTACCATAAGGTTCAATACCACAAAAGGAAGGTGGGGATTGATTTTTGGGGTTATGGTACCAACAATTAAGGAATAAGGGGCCAAAAAGGGGCCAAAAATAAGCATTTTTATAACTTCCAGACATAACTTGTGTGTTAGTGTATGGATCTCTCTGACATTGTACCACAAGGTTCCATTCACAAAGGGAATGCTGGGATTGATTTTGGGGGTAATTGCTTCCAAATTTTAGGAATTAGGGGCCAAAAAGGGGCAAAAAACGAGCATTTTTCTAGTTTCATGGTAAGTGTATGGATCACTCTGACAATGTACCACAAGGTTCCATATCACAAAGGGATTGCTAGGATTGATTTTGGGGGTAATTACCTCCAAATTTTAGGAATTAGGGGCCATAAAGGGGCAAAAAACAAGCATTTTTCTAGTTTCATGACAATAACTTGTGTGTAAGTGTATGGATCTTTATGAAATTGTACTACAAGGTTACATATCACAAAGGGAAAGCTGGAATTGAGTTTGGGGGTAATTGCTCAAAACGTTTAGGAATAAAGGGCCAAAAAGGGGCCAAAAATAAGCATTTTTCTAGTTTCCAGACAATAACTTGCGTTCAAGTGTATGGATCTCTCTGAAATTGTACTGCAAGGTACCATACCACAAAGGGAAAGCTGGGATTGATTTTGGGGGTAATTCCCTCAAAATTTTAGGAATTAGGGGCCATAAAGGGGTCAAAAAACAAGCATTTTTCTAGTTACATGACAATAACTTGTGTGTAAGTGTATGGATCTTTATGAAATAGTACTGAAAGGTTCCATATCACAAAGGGAAAGCTGGGTTTGAGTTTGGGGGTAATTGCCCTAATTGTTTAGGAAATGATTGTAAGGTGTTCATGCCTCACTGGCAGGTTTCATCTGACCTTGACTGTATTTTCATGGCCCATTGGTCAATATAGATTTTTTACATCGCGATGACCTTGAGGTCATTCGGATGTGTTGCTATCGCCTAGATTTCCATTATGTAAATTAGTTTTGGGTTTGTAACCGATCTAGAAACATGATAAATATGCGCACATAAACGAGTGCAAAATAACATTCCTTATCGTTTGATATAAATAAATCTCTTCAATGAATACTGATAAAAATATTTTTGTTTACAACATAAATTAATAACATGAAAATGTTTTGTAGTTAGATATATATATATAAGTAAAAAATCATTGATAATATCAATGCACGCGTACCGAAAAATTGTGTTAAAGCATGCGGAAGAATATCTCAAAGAAAGGACCGGTAACTCTGTAATTGTTTTTGCGGGAAAATATGAATGCCTACTCGTATCCAATCTTAGAAAAATCGAATTTTTACAGAAAAGTGTCCACCATGCACTTGCATTGCACTATTATAAGAATAGTAGAATAGAATGATATACAAATGCATGCAAATCATATATATATATATATATGTAACTGTTATTTTAATATAATATATAACAACAAATCAGTGTATACTGATTTGTATCACTACAATATAATAGTTATTACGGTGAAGTTGAATTTCCTGTCATTTATTCATCATTCACGCACGAACTTGTCTCAGAAAAAAATATATCTCTGTACATTAACCTCAGTTTCAGGTAAAGAGATATGTTGTTTATTTCTGAGACAAGTGCTTTTGACCATCCTCAAGAACTTGTTGTCATCCGATGTTCAGTACTTCAGTACTTTGATTCTGATTTGGTATATTTGTCTGATCCTATGAGTAAAAGTGCCACTATATTTGGTGTATATGTCTGTCTGGCATTTTTCATCTGACCTTGACCTCATTATCATTGATCATTGATAGATTAAGTTTATGTGATAATTGTAGTAAAACCTTCATATATCACACTTTCAACATAGATTCAATCATGATCAGTAAAGTAGGCGAGACATTTTAGCGTGTGTACTCTTGTTATGCTAATCCCAACTATCTACTGATAGGTCATTTTACCTAGGACCAAACTATGCCAGAGACATTCTGAGGTTTCTAGCATCAAAGTATAAATATTTTATTATTTGCATGCTTTTAGAGTATACAGTATACCATTGCTGTAACTCAGAAATAGTTGAAAGGTTCTTTGAAGAATATTAAGTCTCCCAAATGAAGTTTAGAGACATTATTTTTGCTCTGTTTTTCTTCTTTATCACACCTGAACTTATTCACTGCATTTCTGAGTATCTGAAAGACAGGCCTGTTTATGGTTTGAATATTTGTTAAGCTTTCATATATAATTGTGCCCTAAGTATTTTGTTTGTGCATTGATAATAAAATTGAGAATGGAAACAGGGAATGTGTCATAGAAGCAATTTCAATGAGGATTAATTTAAAGTCTTGAATTGTTTGAGGTTTTTACCATGTATTACTATATTGGATATTTGGACATTTTTAAATAGGTCTACATTGAGGTCCAAAGGGTCCAAAATTAGACTTTGTTTGATTTCATCAAAAACTGAATTCTGGTGGTTCTATGATATGCTGAATCTCACTGTGCATTCAGATTTTTAATTTTGGGCCCTGTTTTAAAATTAGTCCATATTAAGGTCCAAAGGGTCCAAAATTAAACTTTGTTTGAATTCATGGTTTTTTTTTATATGCTTAATCTAACCATGGAATTAGATTTGGGATATTGGACCATTAAGTAGATTAAATGTCCCATTTTAAATTTTTAAGTTATCTGACCACATTTATTCTGTGTCAGAAATCTATAATGTGTCAAATATATAATCAATATCCAAATTCAGAGCTGTATCAAGCTTGAATATTGTGTCCATAGATATAAGAAGATGTGGTATGAGTGCTAATGAGACAACTCTCCATCCAAGTCAAAATTTATAAAAGCAAAACATACTTGCCCCAACTGTTCAGAGTTTGACCTCTGCATTCGTATCCAGCTGCTCCAGGCGGATCGCATTTTTTTAAATTGGACTTTGAAATGGATTTTATTGAATTTTGGAGTTCAAGAGAGTTTACCTGCAGTATGATTTAGCAGTTTGGTTAATCCATTTATAGCTATTCTAGAGGAGTAAAAAGAAAAAAAAGTCTGGTTTTGATATACCTGCTTTTTAGATGAATTTGTTTTGGTTTTGATATAATTGACAAATTGTAATCCTATCTTGTTGTATGATTGTTTTGATGAATTTTCACAAATTCTTAAAAAAATTTGAGTGTAGATTCATCCAGTATGATTCATGTCATTCAAATCTTTGAAACATATCCATGGTTATCTGATTTTCTGAACAGATCAATAATACTGTGTAATATTGTTATAATTTGTCATCCTGGTTTACCAATGGGAATACATGTAAAAATTGCAGTTATGTGTGATTGCTTAATGGAACATGTTATCTCTGGATGTATTGGTAACTTAATTAGAAATTTCAAGGTTGCACCAAGGTAATTAGATTATGGGTATTTTGCTTTATCCAATTACTATGATAATATGGCCTTTTTTTTATCATTTCTTGACTAAAATAAAAAAAAACTGCATGGATTAATGGCATGATTAATTCTCTTGCTCAATGACTGAAAAATATTGTTATGTCTGGCAAGAATGATAAAATGTTTGAAAACTGACAAAAAATTTAGTCTGTCTTTTCTTGTCTCATGATCAGAAATTGATGCACAAATTTTGGAAACAAAACTGCAGCCTTTGCAGACCTTAGTCTAATATGAGAAAAGGAGAAATATTTGGTTGATTTACATGAACTCTGATGCTATAGTTTTACCCTTATGCACTCAGAAATAAATTTCCTATAGTTTTATTACAAAATTTTCAGCAAAAGATGCTATTCAAAATCTTACTCTATTCCAATATTTCTTTTGAAAATTTGGGAACACTGCATTATTAATAGCTACAAATATTTATTACTTTCTAAAATAATACCCACACTCTAAAGGTGCATTGTTAACAGCTACAAATATTCATTACTTTCTAAAATAATACCCACACTCTAAAGGTGCATTGTTAACAGCTACAAATATTCATTACTTTCTAAAATAATACCCACACTCTAAAGGTGCAGGCTATATTTGAAATCACCTTGTCCATCCTGTTGTTGGTTAATCTGTTGTCCAACAAATATTTTGGTCACTTTTCTCTATTAAAAAGAACAGCTTTATATTTAGTCATCAGTTTGGCAATGATGAGTTGTAACATGTGAGCACTTGACAGATCTGTCAGAAACCTATTTCCTGTTTGCCAATACATTTTTACTTTGAATTTTTCAATTTTTTGAATGAAGTTTAAATTTTTCTTCACACTTTTATCAGAAACTATGTATACTGAACAGATCGAATGACTTAATATTTGGTCAATAGTGATGAGTTGCTAGTGGGGTATGCCTAGCATGACAATGCATGCTTTTTTGTTTAAAATGAAAAATTGTACAATAATGTTATACTATGGTTTGCATTTGGAAATACACAATTTTTGAAAATTTAACTGACTACACAACATTATTTGCTGTCACTAGATTGTCACAATATATTACCATTGAAGAGACATGGACAAATTTGATGTAAATGTATTAGAAACTTAAATATTAGTTCAATAGATTTGGTCTAGCAAAATTTTTTAATCAGTTTTGTAGCAGACCAGCCCAACTAGTTTAAAATACAAATAGTGCATCTCCCACAGGTATTCTATCATGAAATTAACCATTTTGAATTATTATTCAAAATTTTTAATGACAACAAGTCTTTTTTTTTATTTCAGAGTATAATGATAGCCATTGGTGTAGCTATTATAACATTCCTGGTAGTTCTGTTCTTTGGAGTATGGAAACTGCGGACAAAAGGTTGGTTGAATTGTATTACTGTAGATCTGTTAGCTCCTTCAGTTAAGGATAGCCATTAGTGTTGCTATTATAAAATTCCTGGTAGTTCTGTTCTTTGGAGTATGGAAACTGTGAACAAAAGGTTGGTTGAATTGTATTACTGTAGATCTGTTAGCTCCTTCAGTTAAGGATAGCCATTAGTGTTGCTATTATAAAATTCCTGGTAGTTCTGTTCTTTGGAGTATGGAAACTGTGAACAAAAGGTTGGTTGTATTACTGTAGATCTGTTAGCTCCTTCAGTTAATGATAGCCATTGGTGTAGCTATTATTACATTCCTGGTAGTTCTGTTCTTTGGAGTATGGAAACTGTGAACAAAAGGTTGGTTGTATTACTGTAGATCTGTTAGCTCCTTCAGTTAATGATAGCCATTAGTGTTGCTATTATAAAATTCCTGGTAGTTCTGTTCTTTGGAGTATGGAAACTGTGAACAAAAGGTTGGTTGTATTACTGTAGATCTGTTAGCTCCTTCAGTTAAGGATAGCCATTAGTGTTGCTATTATAACATTCCTGGTAGTTCTGTTCTTTGGAGTATGGAAACTGTGAACAAAAGGTTGGTTGAATTGTATTACTGTAGATCTGTTAGCTCCTTCAGTTAAGGATAGCCATTAGTGTTGCTATTATAAAATTCCTGGTAGTTCTGTTCTTTGGAGTATGGAAACTGTGAACAAAAGGTTGGTTGTATTACTGTAGATCTGTTAGCTCCTTCAGTTAAGGATAGCCATTAGTGTTGCTATTATAACATTCCTGGTAGTTCTGTTCTTTGGAGTATGGAAACTGTGAACAAAAGGTTGGTTGAATTGTATTACTGTAGATCTGTTAGCTCCTTCAGTTAAGGATAGCCATTAGTGTTGCTATTATAAAATTCCTGGTAGTTCTGTTCTTTGGAGTATGGAAACTGTGAACAAAAGGTTGGTTGTATTACTTTAGATCTGTTAGCTCCTTCAGTTAATGATAGCCATTGGTGTAGCTATTATTACATTCCTGGTAGTTCTGTTCTTTGGAGTATGGAAACTGTGAACAAAAGGTTGGTTGTATTACTGTAGATCTGTTAGCTCCTTCAGGTAATGATAGCCATTGGTGTAGCTATTATAACATTCCTGGTAGTTCTGTTCTTTGGAGTATGGAAACTGTGAACAAAAGGTTGGTTATATTACTGTAGATCTGTTGGCTCCTTCAGTTAATGATAGCCATTGGTGTAGCTATTATTACATTCCTGGTAGTTCTGTTCTTTGGAGTATGGAAACTGTGAACAAAAGGTTGGTTGTATTACTGTAGATCTGTTGGCTCCTTCAGTTAATGATAGCCATTGGTGTAGCTATTATAACATTCCTGGTAGTTCTGTTCTTTGGAGTATGGAAACTGTGAACAAAAGGTTGGTTATATTACTGTAGATCTGTTGGCTCCTTCAGTTAATGATAGCCATTGGTGTAGCTATTATTACATTCCTGGTAGTTCTTTTCTTTGGAGTATGGAAACTGTGAACAAAAGGTTGGTTGTATTACTGTAGATCTGTTAGCTCCTTCAGTTAAGGATAGCCATTAGTGTTGCTATTATTACATTCCTGGTAGTTCTGTTCTTTGGAGTATGGAAACTGCGGACAAAAGGTTGGTTGTATTACTGTAGATCTGTTAGCTCCTTCAGTTAAGGATAGCCATTAGTGTTGCTATTATAACATTCCTGGTAGTTCTGTTCTTTGGAGTATGGAAACTGTGAACAAAAGGTTGGTTATATATCTGTAGATCTGTTGGCTCCTTCAGTTAAGGATAGCCATTAGTGTTGCTATTATAACATTCCTGGTAGTTCTGTTCTTTGGAGTATGGAAACTGTGAACAAAAGGTTGGTTGAATTGTATTATTGTAGATCTGTTAGCTCCTTAAGTTAAGGATAGCCATTAGTGTTGCTATTATAACATTCCTGGTAGTTCTGTTCTTTGGAGTATGGAAACTGTGAACAAAAGGTTGGTTGTATTACTGTAGATCTGTTAGCTCCTTCAGTTAATGATAGCCATTGGTGTAGCTATTATAACATTCCTGGTAGTTCTGTTCTTTGGAGTATGGAAACTGTGAACAAAAGGTTGGTTATATTACTGTAGATCTGTTGTCTCCTTCAGTTAATGATAGCCATTGGTGTAGCTATTATACCATTCCTGGTAGTTCTGTTCTTTGGAGTATTGAAACTGTGAACAAAAGGTTGGTTAAATTACTGTAGATCTGTTAGCTCCTTCAGTTAATGATAGCCATTGGTGTAGCTATTATAACATTCCTGGTAGTTCTGTTCTTTTGAGTATGGAAACTGTGAACAAAAGGTTGGTTATATTACTGTAGATCTGTTGGCTCCTTCAGTTAATGATAGCCATTGGTGTAGCTATTATAACATTCCTGGTAGTTCTGTTCTTTGGAGTATGGAAACTGTGAACAAAAGGGTGGTTATATTACTGAAGATCTGTTAGCTCCTTCAGTAATTTGGAAGTTGGAATTGAATTACGGAAAATATACTTTATAACATGACATTTAAAGATGATACTATTCAATCACGAGGTTAAGTAATGTCTTATTTTTATCTGCAGTTTTGCCAAGCCGGACTGGGATGCCGAGAAAACCTAGATTTAGAAAAAGAGATAAGATGCTGTTTTATGGGAGAAGAATGTTGAGAAAGGTAAAGAATAGATATTTTAAATAAATGGCCCTAACGGAGGGTACTGCATAATGTTAGCTTACAAGGGAAACACCCTTTCTCTGTATGCTTACCTGTCTGTCTCTTAGAGTCTAGACCAATATATCAGGAAACCATAGAAACTATGCATGTGTCTTGGATAAGGAATTTTCAATCAACTTGATCAATGGTATGTTGATATGACTATTATATGACTGTCAAAAAATCAGTTAAAACTAGCTGATTTATCAAAATATAAAAGTTTACATAATAGTTAAAGAAATAGTGTTGTTAGATAAAGGATCATGTTATCATGCATGGCTTATTTATGTAAAGATTTTACTCTGTGACTGTGACCTCATGTTATCATGGCAAATCCTGTTCTCATAGATTATTTTTTAAACTTTTTTTTTTTTATTAATTTATAGAAAATTAATCTTTTTTCTAAATTTCTTATCCCATATCTTATTTGCTGATGTCATCATCAAAAACATTTCATCTGTTATTTTGTGAAAAAGGATAATTACTGCATTGCATTCGATCAGATTTCTGTTTGGTTGAGCTGAATTATAAAAATGAATTTGTTGAATAATAGAATTCATTCATTTTTAAAAGTAAAATATACAATTTTAAGCTTCATAAAAGTATTCTGTTGTATAGGGAACATCCCTTTCCCTTTTCTTGTCTTAGTTATTCACTATTTTAAGTTGTTTTTCCTGTGAGATCATATAACCTGGATAACATCTAATTTAAACAAATGTTTTATTTGTATAAAGAGGTTTACTGATGAAAAAAAAACAACACTTATGTATCTTTTATTCATATAAAATAAGAAGATGTGGTATAATTGCCAATGAGACAACACTCCACCAGAGACCAAATGACAGAAGTTAACAACTAGAGGTCACTGTATGGCCTTCAACAATGAGTGAAACACATACTGCATAGTCAGCTATTAAAGAGGTTAAACATGTTTGTGAGTGCCCAACCCTCCCCTAAACTGGGACAGTGGTGTAACAGAACAACATATAAACAAATGCTTATTTCCTTTGATTTTTCTGCTTAATATTTTCCTATTTTGCTTCCTCTAGGAAATTAGTGCACAATAAAATTATCTAAAAACGTGATATATTTCAGAAAAATGAATTAGTGATAAACATCTAGAATAATAGGTATTTTACTTGATATACCACATGGTATAGTCAGTATCATAAATGGAACAACCTGTTATTCTAAGTATATCACATATTTATCAGGCTGATAATAGATTCAAATTTATTATTATTATTGAGCAAACCCCTGATAAAGTTTTCTATTATCAAGGCATTTCACATCTCACATCCCTCTTGCACAGCTGACTAGACTGAAGACAACTTTATTTCATACATAATTTTCAGTGTCGAATGAGTCATCTAATTTGTTTTTTCATCCACATGAATTCAGTGTTTTACATAACAAAACTTATTACAAGTATTTGGAGTGGAAGTGGAGGTGTATTAACTAAGAAAAGCTTTGCTAATATTTTTCTAGTTTGTGTATTCCTTGCTTATCTCTCATCATGATGTTAATTTTATTGTTTATAACAGGGCAGCTTAGTAGCTACAGAAATGGCTGATTTGGCAAGTTCCTGCTATTGTCTGTATAGATTGCCTCTGTCACATTATTCAGTTTCTTAGATTTAATATATATCACTGGATTGTCTCCGCTCACTGACTACTTATTATCTCTCTGTGTGCTACTTTATACTTTTAGTATAGATTAGTTATGTCTATGTTGAAAGTAATGACCTAGTATTTATAGGTTTGAAAAAAGTTCTGCATGTAAATCTGTTTAAAGATATCTACTAGTATATAAACTATAAAATTGTAACTGGATGTCATAACAGTTGTAAGGAGAAAGTAAACAGATAAGCCCAAATGTAACAGACACCCAACAACTTTCAGAAACTAAAGATGAACAAAAACAGGTCACCATTTGCCATTCTCAACAATGAGTGGATATCCACACTTAAGTTTAAAAAAAAATGGCAGGGGACTACTTTAAATGTGCTCAACAGATAACAGAAATGGGTCTTTATTTAACTTGTTTGTTAAAATGTCTTTATAGTACATAAGATTAAAAGTTGATGAAAGAACAAGATTATTGTTGATGTATTAAAGTTTTAGTTGTTCCATCATTGATTTGTACATCACAACTCCTTTTACCTACCTTTCAAAAGATTAACTTTTTGGTCATTAATGGTAAATATAATATCAAATAAACAGATTCCACATGCACCTTTTTAGTTGTGATTAACATGAGTGAGTTAACTCCCTTGTGGTATTACCAGTAAGATAAAATAAGAATGGTATTAACAACAAGTGAGGAAAGTGTGAAAATAAAACTAACATCTTTTTTGCTGACTGAAGTTTCAAGGAGAATTTATGATTATAGGCCAAACAATCAGGTTACAACTGTAATATTGATAAATAATGGAATATCTGTATATTGTATCATAAATATATTATTATTGTAATATCTAATGGTGTCATACATGTAAGATATATAGATTAAAGATTTAAGCAAAAAGCAACGTGAGGTTTAAGTGCCTTATCTTGAATTTATTATAGGATTAAACGCCTTTTTAAAGGAATTTATTGGTGTATAAACTCGACCAATTCACTCACAAACAAATAAAAGTCCGAAGGACTTTTATGATATGTTTGTGAGTGACTTGGTACAGTTTATACACCAATAAATTCCTTTAAAAAGGCGTTTAATCCTTATAATTCTTTAAAATTGGAGATAAGGAATTTATTGTGTCATTATCGCCGCCATCTTGTTTACGTTGGTTACGAAAAGAAGTTCGGTCAACGTCGTCTATTGAAAAATAAACAACGTCAAGAACAACTACCGGAAGTCCTCTCAACCAATCATATCAACGTATTCTCTAATATGCAAATCATATAAGAATTATATTGCTTAAAACAAACAAAATCTTTATTATATTTTTCACTGAAATTCAGCTTTTAATGTTTCAATATTCATTGTTCCTAATGTGTTAGATGAAAAAGATAAAAATTTTAAATTGAAATTAAAGGCCACAGAAGTGAGACACTCATACGTTTTGAAGACATTACATGTTTTAACCAAATATGGTAGCTTGAACATAAAGTAAGTTGGTATGGGAGTATACGGGCATCCTGAATCGCAAATAATCTGCATAAGTTTTACTTCAACTAGAAACAAAGGTTTACTTTGCACAAGAAAGTAAATTAGTTATATAAACATTTATTATCATTTCCTAATTGTGTAGTTACTTTCTGCATTAAAAAGGAGAAATATCTTTTTATATGTATCTGAGACTATCAAAGTAGCAGCCAATGAGTATTTGAAACAGTTGTAATGCATTCTTTTGTTTCCAAATCATTTAGTAGAATATATCTAATGGGGTCAACTTATAGTAAATCATTTAAAAGAATGACAATACAATTGGGGGTACCAATGTTAACTTTTGAGAATTAAGTTAATCAGATAATATGATAATCTAATTTATGAAAGACTTTTAAATACATATGTGTAATGGGTAGTTGATATACTATATAGCTAGGAAGGCTAAGAAAAAAGTTTGTTTTTCTGCTTAACTTACAAATTTTAACTTGGTATGGTCATACTATTGCATTATTTAAAAGAAATTTTGGTATAAAATATGAAATAGTAGTATGAAGTATATCTTTTTAGATGTATTTCTGTAGGCTATTTTTGTTACAATTTTTGTACTGGGAATAAAGCATAATGAGCAGAGAAAAACCATGATCATTCTTTTACAGAAGATATTGTAACAAATGAAAAAAGGAAAATAAGATAAGGGCCTTCTTTTGTTACAGAATTTATAGAGTGTTGCACATCATTTCATCTAAATTATTTCTTGCCTTGTTCTTTCTATTTATCCAGAAATAGTTGCAGTCCAAATTAGCCATATGAAATACCAAACTTTGAACTATTAGAATAAGAATGTAGTATGGTTGCCTATAAGACAACTAACCACTAGAGACCAAATGATGTTTTCCACTTTTATGCAATTGTTTAATTTACAGTCAATCATCATAGTACTGATTAATGATAATGGTGTACAGTTGTCTTGTTTTTCATTGTCTGTTTAAGGAATATCAGTACACTTGTACTGTGTTTGAAGAGTTGCTGTGGTTAATTTTGAATTTGAAAGTAGCAAAGACATATTTACTGGTGACAAGGAGCTGAACCAATAAAACAAATATTTGCCAATGTCACATCCAAAATTTATGGTTTGGATAATACTTACAAAATTTTGGAATCAGATTTTAAGAGTCAAAGTACCTTTTGATTTTTGTTTCGTATTCTTTTAGACATGGTATTTGAATTAGCCCGTTTACGTACATATTATGGTAAACTGTTGTCCGTCTGTCTGTCCGTCCGTCGTCAACACTTGGGACAATAACTCAAAATCATTTTCACTAACTTTCATGAAACTTTGGGGAATTTTTTTTTATATCTATTGACGTAAGCTCCCTTTTGATTTTTATAAATTTTAGATTTTACATTTCTGAGTATTGGGACTTTATTCATAAAAAAGGGGGGATTTTCCAGTTTTCAGACAATACCTCAAAATTGCTTTGAGCAGTTTTCATGAAACTTTGCTTGTTTATATCTAATGAAATAAGCTCCCTTTTGTTTTTTATAAATTTCTAATATGACATAGCGGAAGGGACTTTCTAGCTAAGAAGGCAATGGGTGTATCATGCACACATGGCGCAGCTCTTTATTCACATATGTAATGGTAAATTGTTTTTATTTATATTTTCATAAAATGTTGGGTTTTACAGGTTAAAAGCTTTACCAAAAACACTGTTGGTTCTTTGCCACAAGGAAGAGGAAAGATAAAGAATAAACAACTTGTTTTAAAACTGGCCAGAAAGTAAGTTTAAATATAAAGATAGATACAATGGTTTATATTTTGACAGTTGTATTTCATTTCAGGTATAAAAATAGATTCTACAATTGCATCAAATGTGACAGATATTTCACACCCCAAGACATAATATTAAATTTAACAGTCGAGGGTGGAGAAATATTGTAAGGCATGAAATTTGGTGGTGGAATCTGTTTTTCTTATGATTTTTAGACAATAATTAACAAACATTATATTTCTTTTTCTCTGATCTGCAAAAAGATGTGTTCTTTCTTTATGTTGTTACAATAGCATTTTTTGCTGTTTATTTATCTAATTTAAAAAAAAATCATCAGTGATTTTGTCATAAAAATTAGTTCAAATAATCTTTATACATAATCAATCCAAATGTCATCATAAAAAGTGGGGTCCATATACTTGTTTTCGAACTAGCGAGTAAAATCATTTAAAAAATACATCTTTTCATGATATCTCACAGTTTGAGGTTGCTGAAAATAACATTTTACGTTAGCGACGTCATTACCTCCCCTGTAACTGTATAATATTGTATGCCATTAAGTACAATCTTCTATTACTTAGTACGTAATATAATTATGTAATATACAATTTTGTTTGTAGGTTATTACAGATGAGGAGACATTCAGCTTTACCCCAGCTGAGACATAAAGAACCACCACAGTCTTTCCTAGAAACAGATTCATCAGAGATTGACGAATCAGACCACAGGCTACCCCCAGAAGTTTTATATATGCTAAGAAGCACTAGGTAAATCTCTTTAATTTCAAAGAATAAAAACCGCCTTGGTGGTCTCGTGGTAGCGTGTTCAACTCGAGTGCGGGAGGTTGTTGATCCGAACCCAGGCCGGGTCAAACCAAAGACTTTTTTTTATATTTGCTGTTTCTCCACTAAGCATTAAGGCATAAAGGAGTAAGAGCAAAGACTGGTCTGCTCAGAGTCAGAATAATGTGTCCAGGTAAGGTGATATGTCTTCCTGTGGACTGTTACCTTGTGAACTAGCATGTTAAAAATCCGGCTCAGCATTTCGGTTTAGTACAAAGCAGGGTTAATATTCAAATTACACTAACATGTTCTCGTCCTGAATATGCATATTAATTTGCTGCTGGACCTAAGCAGCCATCCATTCATTATAATGCCTATAGTCAATATTACCTGCATATGAGACTAAAGAGCGTTAAAATACATGTATAAACTAAACTGTACTAGGACAGCACTTAGTCATCCTAACCATCAATATTTTGTATTGAAATGAACACAAAGTATCATTATTTTCAAATTTAAAACATTAAAGGGGTTTATTTTCTCTCTGAATAATAACTTAAGTCCTTTCCATGTTTAAAAATCAGATACAGACCCACATATGACCATTTATGTTTGTTACGGTACATAGTTTTGTCCACAGTAATGATAATTGTTTGAATAAAAAATAATTTAAAATTTGGTGGCCTTCTCTAGTATTATACATTTTATTGCATTAAAGGCTAAAAATTTCTGAAATCATAAAGGAGTAGAACTTGCTTAAAGTGCATTTCCAAGCCTTTTATAGCTTACTAAGTGGTATCGGTTTTGCTCATTGCTGAAGGCCATACTGTGACCTATATTTCCTTACTTTTACTTCATTTGGTCTCTGGTGGAGAGTTGTCTCATTGGCAATCATACCACATCTTCATATTTTTATATAAATACTGATTTAATGCAGTACATTGTACTTGCTTATCTTAGTATGATTGACAAAAGGAAAATATTGAACTTTTCTTAATAACTAATATTGAAATGATGTCATGGCTATTAATTTACTATTGTCAATTTCTTCATTAATAGGGTATTTGGACATTTTGAAAAGCCATTATTCCTGGAGTTGGTAAAACACATGGAAACAAAGGACATATCAGCTGGGTCTTATTTATTTAGAATTGGGGACCAAGATGATAGTATTTATGTTGTACAGAGTGGAAAGCTCAAAGTTACAATCAAGGAACAGGTAAAAATATAAATGAAAAAAAGGATATAATGTCTCTGTGCCTCATATACTTCAGAAAGTATTTTTTTCTTAAATTTCAAGATTAACTAGTAGTATGCTGCAAAATATAAGTTGAATAATGATAAATATAATTAAATATATATGATATAATTGCACTTGCCTTGAAAGTAAAGTTTTGGAACAATGGCATTTGTGTAGTGCTGATGTCTATATTTGAGTTGACATAATTTTTCCTTACATCAACGGCAAAATTCACATGTTTAGAATGAAACATTTTTTTGATATTGATAGCAGACAGTTTTATTCTATCAATTATGAATAAATAATACAAATGGACAAAAATTAAAAGATCAGTAGCAATTTTATATTCATTAAGTTGATGTGACTAAATTAACGGGTAGATGTTAAAAAAAAATTATGAATTTGATGTAATTATTCAATGATTTATATAACAGGACAGTACAGAATGTCTGGTGAAGTATGTAACAACAGGAGAAAGTCTTCATAGTTTACTTAGTATACTTGATGTCTTAACTGTAAGTGTTGATATGCTTTGTATATCTATTTATTTGTGAGAACAGAAGAAAGTCTTCACAGTTTATTAAATAAACTGTAGCCATCTTAATTTTAGTGGTTTTCAATTTCGTAAGTTTTTGACCAACCTTGTTGACTATGAGAATAATTCAAGGTGGTTCCTAGGTTACAAAAAAAAAAAAAGACAAAGCAATGTAATATTTTTGAATTAGTACAGGAAAATGACTACTCTTTAAATGGTTGTGTTTGTGAATGTTAAGTTCATTGTTTATATACCCCAGTCAAACATACAGCAAACATTTTATTGTCCAAATTAAAAAAATGTCTAACAGGATTTGTTCTAGTTATACTGATCTTGGAATAGATCAGTGACAAGTTAACTTGTATACCCTGTTTTCTATTGCTATAGGCTTTCCTGTGTTTAAAATCTGTGCATTGGCTTCAATGACTTTCTAAGCTAAGGAAAACATTAGGCAAAGTAGTTGGTAAACTCTGGTCATTTTGATTGTGCTAATGGTGAAACAAAACACAAATCGTTTTGGTTAATTTTTCTGTCAGAATTTATTGATAGGTTAAGTTTACTTCTGAGCAACTAATAATGTTTGCATTACTATTTTTAAGAGGCTCTTGTCATAATGTAATCTTCAATCGAACAAATGATATTAGTTTAAAAAAAGAAATGCTTTCCACTGTTTGCTTTTATCATTTTGCTTTTTCCATCAATGGCCAATCATATTCTAAGGATACTGAAATTTATTATTTTCTTATCCAGATGAAATTCGTGAAAAATATATAATTATAATTATGATATATTAAATCTTTTGAAATTAATCACAATTTTGATGTTTTATATAGGGACATGTACGGCCATATAAAACAGTCAGTGCCAAAGCAGCAGTAGACACAGTTGTCCTCAGGTAATCAGTTAGTCAGTTAGTCAGTTGTAAAATTATTTTTTTAGATCAGGAAATTTGATAAGAATTGAACATGTTTTAATTTTCATGGATAAATATTTTGCAATTTTGTCATTTTCTAAAGAAAATTAAATTTATGACAATTTTTTTTACTTTAAAATATTCATATATATAACTTAAATAATATATTTTCCAATACAACTTTTTACCTATCTTTCAGTTACTATATGATTTTATAGTCCTTCCATTTTTCAGAAAAATAAGTCTTTTAATGCAAATCCTATTGAAGAATTTTAGAAAATTAACCCTTTCATAGCTTAGGCCAGATATAACTGTGAAAAAAGATTTGACCTAAATCTTAAGGTTTCTAAGATTAATAGTATGGCAGATTTGCATAGTTTTCAATTGCATTCCCCAGAATAAAATCTGCTTTGTATCTTTTTGCATAATTGCTTTGTCTCTGAATGTTTTAAGATGTGGTTCTAGCTTATCACTGAGTCCACCAATTGTGTGTAAAACATAACTTATGTGACAGTAGCAATACACTTGCTTTTGATATATGTTTATTTAAGTTTCCTTTGTTCACATGATGCAGTCATATCATGCCGAGCATAACATAAACCTTTACTTTGCATTTATCATGATAATTTACTCCTTTATGAGTGTTATTTACTAATGAAGAAGCATGCTTCAATGGATGACTGAAACTTCAGACAGTTACTAGTAAGTCTATATAGTTTTTGATATAGACATATCTCGTGCTCTTATGCCTACAGATTTTTATGAAGCGATTGTCAAAGATTTATATAATAATTTCATTCCCTGTATTTTCAGACTACCAGCATTAGCATTTCAGTCCTTGTTTGAAAGATTCCCAGAATCTCTAGTCAGGGTAGTTCAGGTAAATTCAGAACTATATAACCTATAGTCAAGGAAGTTCAGTTAAGTTCAGAGTTATAAAATCTATAGTCAAGGAAGTTCAGTTAAGTCTTACTAGAGTTATAGAATCTGTAGACAATGTAGTTCAGTTAAGTCTAGAGTTATAGAATCTAGAGTCAAGGTAGTTCAGGTAAGTCTAGAGTTATAGAATCTATAGTCAATGTAGTTCAGTTAAGTTCAGAGTTATAGAATCTATAGTCAAGGTAGTTCAGGTAAGTTCAGAGTTATAGAATCTATAATCAATGTAGTTCAGTTAAGTCTAGAGTTATAGAATCTATAGTCAAGGTAGTTCAGGTAAGTCTAGAGTTATAGAATCTATAGTCAAGGTAGTTCAGTTAAGTTAAGAGTTAAAGAATCTATAGCCAAGATAAATCAGTAATGTATAGAGTTATAATCTATAATCAAGTTAGTTCAGATAAGTTAATGCTGTGGAATCTCTAGTCACAGTTTTTTTTATGAGTTTTTACTTAGCAATATACAGATGAGTTCATTGCTAAAATTTATCTTTTCATTAGTTTTTACTATCCATTTTTAAAGAGAATTGAAAAATTATTTTAAAATCTCTAAACACAGTGGAAAAAAAAAGAATATGATGTATCAATGTATGACAAAAAATTACTATGCTCATATGAAAGAAAAAAACAAAGCAATGGAACAGCACATGTATTACTGTCCTTTATATTAAAGTCACAGTGAAGCCTTCAACATTGAACAAAACATCTAGATTTAATACCATGTTCCAATTGATGGCGGTATTATTGTTTATGTTCTAAGCTGACATGGATGGCATGGATGGCATGGAAATACATTATCTTAGATTTGTTCAAGTATTTTTATCAAGTATTTTTATTAAATATTTTACAGGAAGAGATTTCTGTGAGATCTATATTTAATCAATTTATTTAACTCTGAAATATTTTTTTTTCAGATCATCATGATCAGATTACAGAGGGTAACATTTACAGCATTACATAATTACCTTGGTCTCAGTTCAGAGTTGCTTAAATCAGTAAGTTATGAGTAATTACTTGACTACTTTGTTCTCAGTTCAAAATTACTAGAATCAATTAGATATCAGTATTTACCTGACTACTCAGTTTTTAGTTCAATTTAGTTCAAAATTTCATAATCAGTTATCAGTAATACCCTGGCTACTTAATTTTTAGTTCAGAAGTATATAATCAGTTATTTATTAGTAATTACCGGACTTCTTATTTTTCTAATCTGACTCACATAATATGTAAGTTATCAGTGATTACCTGAACACTTATTTCTTAGTTCAGAATTACATAATCAGCAAGTTATCAGTTATTACCGGACTCCTAAGTTTTCAAATCTGAATCATATAATCAGTAAGTTATCAGTAATAACCTGACTATTTAGTTTTCAGATCTGAATCACATAATCAGTAAGTTATCAGTAATTACCTGATTACTTTGTTTACAGCTCAAAATAATATAAATCAGTAGTTGTCTGTAAATATCTAACTACTTTGTTCACAGTTTAGGGTAACATAAATCAGTTAGTTATCAGTAATGATATACAACTAAATTGTCAACTTAGAATTGCTTAAGTAAATCGCTAAGTTAACACTGAATCAACCTTCACTTATTTTTCCATATGTCAATAAATCGTCATTTCAATCAGCCCTGACAACATCTTCAAATTTTCTGATTTTCAGTAGACCCCATATTTTTCCTTTCTTATTACAGCCAATTCAATAATTTTGGCCAATCAGAGTATGATTGGCTTTTGACACACATTTTGATGGATTAATCATTGAGACCTAGCTATATTAGGAAAACTATTTAAAATTGCTACACAGAAGAATATAAAACAGAGATCAACTTACTATGGAGACTTAATGTGCATATTTTTTTCAAATGTCTTAGTTTTTATAGCAGTAAGGAAAGGGTGGAACATAAATAGTTTTGTTATGTAAAAAATTTGGATTTTTGATGAATAATTTTGAAGGTTTATTCAACTCAAACAGTCTTAACCTTGTTTAGTTCTCAGTTGAGAATGATTGAATTCAGTAATCAGTAAGCCTTAACTGACTACTTAGTTCTGTGTCCAGCATTACGGAATCAGTCATCGTTGATTACTTAGTATTTCCTGAAATTAAACCTTCTGGCTTCACAATTATAGTTATATCAACAAGTCTACAATGATATATGTGTATTATACACTGTAAACCAACTGATTTTAGTGGATCCTTTATTTTGTGTGGTGCCCTTTCTAGCAGAATTTGCTGCCATTTATTTTAGGATTTTCTTATTTTCTTGAGGTATTTGAATAAGAGAAGCTCAAAGTTAAACAAATTCAGGACGATTTATATTCACATTATTTTTAAACTCGCTAAAGTTGCAAAAATGAATTGTTTGCAAAAATAAGTTGGTTCACAGTATGAACTAAGATCTCAATGTAGAATATATATTATCGCAGAAAGGATTAGTATAATAAAATATAAATTTCAGTTCTTGCTGCAGAATTACTGAAACAAAGAATTTTCCAGTAGCTGCTTTAGAAAGTACCTTTGATAATTTTATAGGTCTCATTTTGGAAAAATCTATCCATAAGATTAAACAAATACATCATCTTACACAACATTGGCTATTATTTTTGTTTGACAAATATTAACTTAACATGTGCATTGATTTACATTGTAGCAATCAGATAAACCAAGTTTACTTTCAATATCCAGCATTAGTAACCCTAACAACTGGCCAACTAGTCCACGTAAATACAGAGGAAGTGTAGACATAGAGAAGTCATTAGAGGGTATAAATAGTTGACCTTTCAACAAAATATATAGATATATTTTTTTTATTAATTTTTAAAATTGATGTTATTTTATAAATTTCTTTTTTGCTTAATTTTAAAGGGAAACTTCGCAAAAAAATGAAAAATTGATATTATGTTCGTTGTGTATAAAAAAGCACAAATTCATAAATATTAAAGTTTTATTCTGCTAGATAAGAGATCACCATCGATTTTAAATTTAGAGTATCAATTCTCCGCATGCGGCCATTTTGACATCCTGTCTGAATAGAAACCACGATATATCTATAAACCAAAAAGTACCAAAACAAGCAGTAACCTAACGTAGCCGTAATTGAGTGTCGATATCTTGTCAAGCGTACGGTTGTTTTATCCGACAAGGAAAGCATAACCAGTTTCCCGGGTCACAAAAAAGATTATAATAGACATGGTTGTGCAACCTTTCCTAACTAACTTGATACGGAAAATGTAATTATATATATTTTTTTTAAATAACTAGTACTATGGTCTGTCGTTTTAAAACTGTTTATTTTTAACTGAGTTTTTGAAACAAGAAATTTTAATGGAAATTAGTTAATAGTCAAAGTTCAAAGTCATAAATAAGTGTTCCGTGTAAAATTGTTTTCGAAAATCTAGTTTGTTCATAATTCTTTTATGTAATAAACTTATTTAAATAAATTCAGACCTTCCCTTATCCAGAGACATATAATACATTATGTATTATATGTCTCTGCCTTATCTGATCACTAGCATGGCTTAAGAAATCCCAGAGGTATTGTGAGGTGACACGTCCAGGTATTCAAGCGATTTCCTGTCGGGCTTTAAAACTCTTATTACACAATAACGTAAAACAAGTTCGTGCATTACTTCACTTCTGAGGGTATTGATCAGTGTACACGGCCGATAACTTGTAACTTTCCATTTTGAAACTATCAGGTGTAATATACATCTTTGTCTTGCGTGTCCGATAGTGATATACTAGTCATTACTAAACTCATACGCTTGTTTATAAATAACCTTTCTGGTGTAAAGAATGATATTTATGAAAATCTAAATAATTCCAAAAAAAAAGATTTGATAAAATAAAAAATCTATTTACATATTTTCCAAAGGTAATTTGGGGAAAATGTAAGTATATACTCGTTGTCAATAAGTATGGACATCTCGAAACATAAACAAAATGTACGCACTTGTCGATCATTGGTTTATACGCCTAGATAGAAGGTTACGGAACTATAGATAGTCGCAATTTAGAATATATACATGTAAATTGAATATACGAGAGAAACATCCAGAACCAATCTGATTTAAATACAGTTCGATATATTACTTGCTTTGGTTCATCGAAGTTATGGACATAGTAAAATCACAGATTTATTTTTCAATAAGATTATTTTGAACAGTTTAAGAAATTCGTCATCATCACAATTGTTGGGTATAATGTATAATAATGTGAACATGATTCAAAAAGTACCTGATGTCAATTTTCCTGTTCCGACATGCATGTAATATATATGCCACTGGACGTACACTAATGATCCCCAAAAAGCCTATTTGAAGAAATAAAGAAACTTCACTGCGGATAGACTGATAGTAGTTGTATTAACGTCTGGTCAGCTAGAGGGTTGATTAATTTATTTAGTTAGCTTGTGGTGGTAATAAACCATTCCCAATATTGCACTTATGCATAAAATATCAAATGAGAGTAATATAAGAGAAAATATAAATACGAAAAGTCGCATATCTGGTACAAAAGGTCTCACCATGAACTATAGGATTTTACGTACGATTGTCATCGAAATAACGGACAGTCATTTAAATACATGCATGTACGCTGTGATAAAAAGGGGTGTCGCAGTTCCAAAGTATTCATCATAAATCTATTTCAAGTTTATACTTTCCTGTTATTTTTATAAGTTAACGCAGAGACATGTATACATCTCTAGCTAACGACAATCAACTATATAAATATCTGAATCTGATGTGATTTACCGTTCATGTCTTTCTTTTTCTCCTTTTTTTGTTATTTTGGCAGGAATATATACATTGTAAGATATACTGTTCCCAGGTTTGGGGAGGGGTTGGAGTTCATGTCTATCGAAAGTTACAAAATAAGAACGGTGTATTTATGAATTTACAAGAAGAATTCTGTTCTTGGGCGTAGTTTTCTTCTTTTTTTAGTTCAGTGATTTAAATTTTCAAATTGAGAAAAAAAAATCTAGTCAGAATTTAAATTAAATCGTTCCGGCAATCCCCCACCTAAGACGCCTCTAAAATAATGAATGATCATGCTTCACAATCATCAGAATTTTCGTTGCATTGGTATATTCTGTATCAGTAGTGATTAACCTTGACATTTCCTGGTATAACAGAGCTACTTGTATATTACCTGTATGTGGTTAGGTGATCTTAGGTGACGTCCCATGAGGTCTTACGTATACAGGTTCACATTTATAATGGTTTCTGATATAACAATTAGGTTTTATGACATTCACACTTCTGCATGTTCTGTATACCAAATTCTTATCTTTTTTTCAGACCGAAGAGGATGTGAATATTTTCCAGGAAAATATTGAGTATCAAATTAATTTCGGGATTTTTTTCTTTCTTGGTATTAAATCACAGAAATTTGAAGAATATACTGCTTGTCCGTTTTAGGAGTTTTCTTGTCAGTTTAAACAGACGTATATATGTCTCTGGTTTAGAGTGGGTTTATGAATGAATGATAAGTCTTGCAAAGGTACAAGATATAAAGCACATTGAAAATTGATTCCACCGGTCTTTCTCCATTCAAAAAAGGAAAGTTGACGTTAGATTGATTCTGTTAATTTTTTAAAACATCGTTGGTCAAATAGCTAAAGAATTTATACGTTGTGAGATTTAGAATATTTTAATCAGGGCATTCCCGATTAGGTAAATGTAGATCGCTTTGGACGGACCAAACTATATTAATGCAACTGATAATTTTCTCTGCACATTTAAATAAATATTCAAGATAACCGATGATAATTTGAAATAGTACAGTTTTGATTTATACGCTCGTTTTCGTGAGCCATTTTTATCTATAAATTTTTTTAATTGAAAGTAATTAAGAATTTCGATGTTACAACAAAATGATCACTTATTTATTAAAAAATTGAGCTAACGCAAACTATAAAAAATATAAAACGGTGATTCAGTTATTTTGCCACCATATTCCTCCCCAAATAATAATAAAAAATATCCTGTCTCAAACCCGCACTTCTGTTTTATCCTTTTTTCCCCATGTTTTTCATACTTACAACGGTGAACCCTTGAGGCCAAACAAAACTCTTGTGAAGATCAAAAGATTAAAATTACATAATGCTAATCTTTTAATAACCGTGAATTTAACCACGCCTTTACCAGGTGGTGTCAGTATAATACAAATGCATTGTATTTACACAGTACTAGACTGAAGCAAGGATTTGTATAGTGAGAATACAAACATGCATTTTTATTACACTATCAGTTATATATGTTTGTTCAACATATCCGTCGGAAAAAAAATCATAAAAACATTCTATTGTATGATTTACTTTTATTACTACAATCATATTAGAAATCCTTAAAATATAAAAGGTGCATTTTAATTTTAAAAGTTGCACGGCTGATCACTTTTCTTTCTGAATTATTAGTTGGTTAATAGCTACGCCAAAAGTCGTCGATGCGCTTTAAATCGCGTTATAAGATGATTAACGAACAAGACTTAAAATGAGATTAATCCACTCCCGGCATGCAAAAAGACTTAAACTACGTCACAGAAGTCAGGAAGTTCGAATAAATAAAATTAATAATTCCCAATTTTCTTCTTTATTAGTGTTCATATCCAGATAAAACTTGGTGAATATGTTTTTTATGGTATTATGAACATAATAAGATGATAATTAAAAAATTGCGAATTTTCCCTTTAACACCTATCATACACCATTTGTTTTACTTTATTGTAGATCTTTCTAACCTTTAGTATGGATTTAAGTCATAAGATCTTTTTAAGTAAAACATAAGTTTTCAAGTTTGCATACATCTTTTAAAGTTAGCTGTTATAATTTGCAGTCATATATGTTGTCTAAGAATTGTATACTTTCAAAAATCTCTATACTAATATGATGTATCCATTTGCACTTTATAATTCAGGTGCTTTAGCTTCTTACGATTTCAACTTGGTGTTTTCATGAAATATGTAATAATCTCCAATCATTTATTATTTATCAATAGAGATTATATAGAGAAAGTATACAATTCTTAGTTAATATTTGATTTTAGCTCCCAGAACTCCAAAGTTTTTTATTGATAACTCAGCTGATAAACCTAGGACAGATTTTGACATTGCTTGTGAGAGAGCCGGTGTAGAGAATGTAGGATCCTCTGAAATTGTAGATGATGGACAACCTACCCCAAAGCTTAAGGTACCAGCTGATACTGGTACTAAGAGTCAACATTCAGATACCAGTCAGGAAATAACTGATGACCTTATTTTACAGTTGGCAAAGAAAGATTTGGTTAACATTATCAAAATTCAGGTATAATTTTGTTAAAAATTAATTTCAGAGAAAAAAAAAACATGGTTACAGAATGGGATTAAAGACAGAGCCTATTATGATTATTTGCTAATATTCAATTCTTACATCTGTATATATTAGGGAGCCTCAGTGGCCAAGTGGTCTAAGCAGTTTATCTGCAGTATCACTAGCCTGTCAACACTGAGGTTGTGAGTTGGAATCCCACACTCAGTAGGTACTACGATCCTAATTGACAAGGTTTGACATTTTTCTTTGAAGATCAGTGGTTCTCTCCAGGCAATCTGGCTTCCTCCTCTAATAAAAACTAGCTGCCATGATATAGCCAAGAGTGCTGAAGATGGCATTATACACCACCAACAATCAATCAATCATTTATATACTTTGTGTCAACTTTGATATTATAAAAAAGTTTAAATATACACCAGGGCATTCCAGCATGCTTTAACCAAAGGATCCCACTCTGAAAGTAAACACAAAAACCTGGAGGACAGTAATCATTGGTGGTCTATACAGATTGATCATTTATGTTAGCTGTAAAACAGTATACAATATATTGTTTAGGATTTTGAAAACACCTGATCTTATTGACCATCAGATCTGCATTTACCTGAACCATAGAGTCAATAGGAACAGCTGTCATTGGAGAACAGTTTCTCTAACTATTCTGGTGTATTGTTGTTTTATGAAATGAGCATTTGTAGGCATGATGTTGTTATCCAATCTTAGCAACAGTTGACTCAATTATAGCAGCTGGCTCAGAAATCCTTTTTTTCAAACAGTTTAAAATGTTCTATGAATTATGTGATACTGTTGTGTAAGAAAATACTATAATGGTGGATTACTTTCTTGAGATGCTAATTTGAGTTTCTTTTACAGTAAGATTTCAATAAAAATGATTCACTTAAAAAAACGCCAATATGTTCCATAGAAATGTATCATGTTTATCATATACAATTAACCTTTTAAACAGTGAAATTTTACACCTGTAAAAATAAACCTGTTCAGTTTAATAAAGGTATAAAATTCAGAATGTTCATATTTGCAGCCTTCATTGATCTTAGTAGGCTTAGCAACAGATATTTATTGAATGTACATTTTCTGAATTAGACTTATTACTTATAAGGACAAAATGCCTTTCTGGGATGAACTTATTTATTATAAGGACAAAATGCCTTTCTGGGATGAACTTATTACTTATAAGGACAAAGTGCCTTTCTGGGATGAACTTATTACTTATATGGACAAAATGCCTTTCTGGGATGAACTTATTACTTATAAGGACAAAGTGCCTTTCTGGGATGAACTTATGACTTATAAGGACAAAATGCCTTTCTGGGATGAACTTATTACTTATAAGGACAAAATGCCTTTCTGGGATGAATTTTTTACTTATAAAGATAAAGTCCATTTCTGAGATGACCTTTTTACTTATAAGGACAAATTGCCTTTCCAGGATGACCTTTTTACTTATGAGGACTAAATGGGTTTCTTTATGGCCTTATTACAAATTTGAACAAAGTGCCTTTCTTGATTGACCTTTGTCAGGTACTGTCATGTCGAAAAGTATAAAAGGCAATTTTTTTGTGGAAAATGATAGAAAAGTGTGAACTGTTTTTTTTTATTTCATAGGACCAATCCTTACTAGATGACAAGATGAAAGTAAGAAGAATGAAAGGAGGACAGTCAATAATCAAACAAGGGGATCAGGTAAATTAAAATATTGCCAGTTCTCTTTTGAATTATTCAATGCTGACAGTTATTTTGTTTGTGCAGTAAGTCCATTTATTAAATGTAAAGTCAAAAATATGCACAAATTTAATGGTTAACAATAACCATTGGACTGGATTATACAAAAAAGAACCTAAACAAACCTTTGATTATAAATTTGGAAGCTTTGTTAAATACAATCCAATATTTAGTTTGCTACATGCAGGCAAAACAACACCATTAAATTTGGGATTCAAAGACATAATTTTGATATGACCATAGCAAAGCAAAATTATATCTAGGATTCAGAAGAATTTACACCAATTGGTTATGTGGTTGACACAATGCGGAAATGAAGGTAAAGGTAAGATTTGTACATGGAATGAATATTACAGATTTTCTAAGATGTTGACTTAAGCTGTAATTTTTCATTTGTTGTTTCTTCTTTATTTTTTTACTACCTTTCATAAGCTGTAATTTTTCATTTGATTTTTTTTCTTCTTTTTTTACTACCTTAAAATAAATGAAACCAACATATGGGAACTGGTAATAAATAATATTAAAATGATTAGAGTTATCTGTTTTATAAATGATAAAAAAATATTTGAACAGTCTCACTGCATAACAAAGATAAGTTTATTTTCATACTTTTCCTGTAAAAAAGTACCTTACTATGAGAAGATTTTTCAGGACAAAAATCTCATGCTATTGAAACATATACTCATAACCATGATAACTGATTTATCCTTAGAAACATAAAGTGTTTAATTAATTTTTTGCAGGATGCTAGTTTGATATTTGTGGTAACAGGATCATTGAATGTTGTACAGCAGATGATTGGTGATGAAAAGAAGGAGGTATGATGCTAAATATAGCCATGATGATATGATTTCATTTTATTTGCCTGCTTTGTTTTAGGTAGACAGAACCATATATTTAAAGTCTTCAGTTTAAATGATTTTTATAAAATAATATGATTTTTTCTTAGATAGTGAATGTTCTGACAACTTACTAATCATTATTTCTCTTACAAACAGGATAAGATATTTTTAACAAAATTCATTTAACAAGTGCTGAAAGTCCTTTTTATGCCTCCACCATAGCGGAGGGGGCTTTAAGTTTTACCCTTGTCCGTCTGTACGTCCATATGTACGTATGTCTGTGCGTCCTTGAAATTGCCATAATGAAATTCTTCAATCCTTTTGAAATGAATGAAGTTTGAAACCCCAAGGAAAATATGTAAGACACAAAACAAATTTGTGATGTTGATATATGACAGACTAATTTTAAATGTCTTTGGAACATCTAAAGCAGGTTTTTAATAGATACATTATACTTTTTGATTTTTAAAACTTAACATGCTTAATGGACCAAAAACTGGCCTTATCATACTTTCTCCATTGTAAGGAATTTGACCCCCCCCCCCCCCCCCCCACCAACCAAAATTGTATGAATTTTAAAGTCAGATTTTAATTAAGAACAGATATTTTGACCGAGTCACTAAGAAACCTTTTGTTATAATCATCCCTCTCCTCAGCACTCACACTAACACATGAATTCATTTTTTTTGTCAAACAGTCTTATAAAATGGTAACTAGGTAACTAGACTCTTTAAGTTTGCTTTATTTCAGTTTTGCTTTGCCTCACCGTTTTAATTTTTTATAGTTATTCAATACTTTTTTCAGAATAGAAAAGTGAGTTGAAACATACTTGTATTTACAACCTGTATATATGTTAAACTCTTTCTTGGTAAATGTCACAATCCTGATTTCAAAGAAGTATCTGAAGCCTAAACAACCCTATAGCATGTCTAGATATTAGAGTTTCCCCCTTTTATCTGCACAAGTATCTATTATGTTTATGTCTTCTAAATATTTGTGAGTTTCTGTTAGAAAAACAGTTGTTTCTTGTTTTGAGATACTTTCATTTTCTTTTACTGACTGAGCATGAAACTTTTTGTCACAGTCTAATAAAAAAAAATCACTTTGTAGGGCATTGTGTGCAACTTCTTGTTGTCTTTTAAAGCTTAATTTTATCTCAGATTGAATATCCTGTGGGACATTTTGAACTTTAAAAGGTTGGAATTCAAAAAATAAAAAAAATATTCCTATAATTCAAATAAGGAAGTTTAAAATTTTTTGTTTATTCTCATTTGATATCTGTCCTTTGAATTTTATGTATTTGATAATGCAATATCTTATTTAATAAACAGTATTTGTAATATTTTCTTGATGTTATAAGAATTTAGAAATCAGGATAATTATGTAACACAAGCATGATGTATTTTGCCCTAACATGCAGATGGAACAAGTCTAAATGAGGTTTATTTTACTAATGATATACTTCATTGCACTGTACTTCTTTGCTCAACATTCTTCTATTGTTTCTCTGTAAAAATAACCATTGAAGGAACTTGATTGTGTAGAAAAGAAAGGAAGTTTACTGAGGGTCCTATTTGGCCTAGAAAGATGAAATATTGCTAAATTACGTGATCTTCACAAATAAATAATGATTGATATGTGTGATTTTCAAACTTTAAGGTCATCTAAATATTGTATATATTTACCAATATTCATCAGATAAAAGATAACTACAAAAATGACAACTAGATATATTTATAAGAGTTGTAGTTCCTATAGAGATACATGGTGTTAAATAAATTAGTTGGAAAGTGCATTCTCTTTATATTTGTGCATCCAAAAATATTTTGACAATTGACCAAAATATGTGTGTTTTTCATTGGAGTGTGAAGAAGTGGTCTTTTTATGTATCATAATTGCATTCATTTTGACATGATGGATCCTGAACAACTTGTTTAAAGATTTGTATACCACAACCTTAAAATTCATGTAAATGTAAATCTAATAAGTTAGATTTCAAGTCAAAATATAAGCCAAATAAGACTTTTATTGCAACTTGTCCTTTAGTGACACAAAGCACTATTTACTTTGAAAAGCTAATTACCTATTATATTTATTTGTAGAATGATAAACTGTATTACAAATCAGAAGTAAAGTTTATTATTTACATTAACATCAATGGTATATTTAATCCAAGGTATATCCATTCTATATCTTTAACTCACTTAAATGTCAAATTATTATTCTGTCATGAGACAGATTTTACAAATGTATTTGGAGGAATAAGAAAACATCCCATGGCAATCCTGAAGTAAAGAAATGTTTTAAAAGAAAATTTATTCAAAAATTAATTTCAAGATATTATTGTTGATTTATTATATGTTTGTAATTTTGCAAACCGTACCATATGTTGTCTTTATGTCCTTGACTGCTAGTCAGGTGTATAAAACACAGGTAAACTTTTTAAAAAGTTGGAAGTCACATGAAAGTTTGGTCAAAACTGTTCATGAGAGGAGATTTGTCTATTGCGAGATACTTTTATTGCTTGACGGGTATTTAAATTGTATCCAGCTATAACATTGATAATGCAATTGCATGTGTCTTGTAATATAAAAATAAGAAGATGTGGTATCACTATGATTGCCAATGACAAAACTCTCCACCAGAGACCAAATGGCATAGAAGTTAACAACTATAGGTCACAGTGCAGCCTTCAGCAATGAGCAAAATCCATGTGTAATGCATGAGCACAGAAAACTTCCTTTGTTCAGTTTCCATATAATTTTATCAATGAAAAATATGTATATATCTATTATATATGTTTCAGACACTGCTGTTTGTAGCTTTACCTGGAGAGATTGTTGGTTCCCTTGCTGTGTTGACAGGAGAACCGTCCTTCTTTACCATGCGTGCCAAAGTAGATACTATTGTAGTTACTATATCTAAAGTAGAATTTTATAGGTAAGGACAATCCTTCTTTAAAAGTTTGGCTTCTGATACCCAAAACAAAGAACAAAATATCAGTATATATAGTCTGTAAATTAGAAAACGCAGCCCTATCTCATTATTGGTTTTAGAAGCGTCAAGAATTCTGATCAGTTTTCAGCTAGGCATTCTTTAGGTTTTGTTGAGTTTAGTGTGACATCCATTTTCACTGAACTAGTACACATTTTTGTTACTATTACCGTTCTTCAGTTATGTCCCTTTATAACTTTATATGATATGCAAGAGGGGACATCATCTGTGTTCCATGGACACATTCCCCATTTGTTTAGTGGCCAGCTGAAACTGGCCTCTGGGTGCGGGATTTTCTCACTGTATTGAACACCCATTGGTGGCCTTGGGCTAATTTATGCTTTTTGGTCGGGTTGTTGTCTTTTTGACACATTCCCCTTTTCCTTTCTCAATTTTATTTAGGAAATACAAGAAGAGTTTAAGATCTAGTACTTATCCTTTATATACCTCTCTTGTGAAGGCTTTTAATATTTTAAGGTTGAAGTTACTATAACCCAAAAATATTAATAGCATTCATCAAATCAATCAGACAGATAATAGAAAATCTGATTTACCTGCAGAAAATCTATTAACAATTGCATAGTAATGTTTTGAACAATATCATCCTGCAGTTGGCACTGCGCTAGGCCATTTCAGATGAAAATCTATAAAGTGATGGTTGGCAGAAAATGTCATGGTGATACCAGGGTTTAGGTGTAATACCACCAAATCATAGTAATTCACATCCGGTTTCATAGGAAAAAGGGTCAACAAAAATATTGCCTTGAATTTGACAGTTGCTGGAAGTTAACCCTGCATTTCATTGCAGAAAAAAATTTCTGAGTCATAAACATATATCTTGGGTGTTTCAAAGTACCATTCTTTTTTTATTTGGTGTTTCTATAAAATATTTTGGAAACTTGAGGTTACATGGTTACTAAAGCTTGTAAACGGGAAAAAAAGGGGTGAAAATTTGATTGGTTAACTTCCAGTGATGGTTATTATCTGATATGCAAAGAAATGTTATGTGAAATTTTGTCTATAGTACTGGACAGGATAAAAATTTACTCATGCCAAGTATTTCTTTATTTGAAACAAAGATAAATTCTGCACAAATTTTTGAAAAGTGCCAATTTAACAAAGACTAATAGGGGAAAATCAATGGTGGTATTACATGTACTCCTTTACTAGCTTGATTAGAGTTAAATGGAATGCCATCAAGAAGTCTGGAAATAGTTGTTAGTTTTCAATTTTGGCTGCCGAAAGAGTTCTGTTTCCTCTCTCATAAAATGATAGGTTAATTGTTTATATTAGCTGGCTAAATAATTATTGAGTTGGCAATGCTGACTAGCCCATTGGTCCAATTTTTTTTGAAAAAGTCTGACTAAACACAAGAAAAATATTAAATTGAAGGCTTTTATAACAAACATCATTTTACTACTGTTGCTATAGTTATATATTCTGTACCAGTATAAATTTTACAAACCAAAGTTTAATAGAAAAGGAAGGATATGATGTTATATATATTAATTCATGACATATACATTCCTTACAAACACTTAAAAAAAACAAAAGCAAATGAATAGTGCTGTAACTGTTGTTTTAGCTGTTTATACAGAGTTAAATGTAGGGCTGTAACATCAATTAGATTTGCTTTTTATGTTTTTTTTTTTTAGTATTATGAGGGAACAGCCTTCTGTAGTATTGAATGTAGCCCATACCACTGCTGTTAGAATTGCACCATTTGTCAGACAGATTGACTTTGCATTAGACTGGATGATGATTGAAGCTGGAAAAGCATTATTCAGGTAGATGAATTTAATTTCAATCAGAACAGTAATGACTGCAGAAACTTTTGTAGAAATTTACTATGACTTGACTATCAGTGTTGCTGTTTACCTTTACCTATTGTTCAACCGGATTGTAAAATTGACATAACAATTGGGACATTTAAATTGACCAGTTGGTATTGTTAGAGTTGATTCTACCTTGATGCTACCTGGACTGATTGTTATTCACCTAGCCCAACTTTACAGCATGCTATTTTCCTGAAGTTTTTCTTCATCTATGGTTATTCTATTATAAAATTGATAGGGAAGAAAATATTATTGGTTTTCATTGTTTTAAGCCCCCTAATATAGGTGATTAATCTAATTTTGACCCACTAATCTAAATCAGTCAAAGATTTTCGGAACTGCATTTTACTGTAAAATTCATATAGACTTTAATGTTGTTTGAGGCAAACTAAAAATGATCTCAGTAAATAAACTCAGACAAAATTCTGATTGCACTCCATATTATTTCTCAACATGTTTGAGTCCCGATGTCGAGATATTACAGTACATAAATTGCCATTTTACTAAATTTATAAATGTTAAACTATACCATAAGAAGATTTCATTAAAAGATATTTCTGGAGAAGGAATCAGTTTAATATGAAAAAAGCTGATGAAATTGTTTACTGACATGACAAATAATGCTGAGGTATAGCATTTTCTTTCATATCTTTAAGGAATGACTGTAATATTTTATCTGTCTATGAAGAAATAACATCAAAAATGTGGTGCACACTGAATAACCCGTGTAGCGGGTTATTTAAAAGTGTGCACCACATTTTTTAGGTTATTTCGAATAGACAGAAAAAATATTACAGTCATTCCTTATGATTTAATTCTAAATTCCATTTTTAAGGAGTAAATTTTGAAAAAAACGTTGGTGATGTCACGGTCACATGACAAAATTATGTATATGAGCTGATAGACAAAACACTTTCAGCCAATCAGAAGACGTGTTACATCCAAAATTAAATTATTTGTATATAGCTTTACAGTTAAAAACATATTTTTCTAACAAAAACTGCTGCAGTAGTGAAATGACTGTCTGGGGTTGAAGATGGGTTAGGTGGATAGTTGTATTATCCATGTATTTATTAAATTTTTCCTGGATAATACAAATATCCACCTAATCCAACTTCTCATAGATACTCAATATTTCAGTATGCATGACACATGATTCTTGAATAACTCTCATCAGATACTCTCAAGACCAAGAATAAGGCAATCCAAATGTGTAAAACAGGTTATAGATTTTTACTCAAAACTGGATAAAATGATTTAATTATCTTTAAATAATTTAAAGAACAAATAAATAATATCTTAAAAATGAGGATTTCAGATTTCAGATTTGTCTTTCTACCTAAACGAAAACAGTGAATATGTGTTTAGAAGGAAATATGTGAGAGCAATATTCCTGTAAGTTTCCTGTTCAATTTAGATTCACTGTTTCTAAAGCTTTTTAAAAAACTCTTAGAAGTTGATATCAAAATTACTTTGGCTTGGACAATTTTGATTTCAAATAGTATAAGCTATAACGATCTGATGTAAAAGAATCCATTTTCATTCCTTGTTATGAATTAACTTCTGTTATGTCACACAAGAGTACATTGCGGCTGTTTGGGATAAACCAGACTAGTCTTTTCCATGGTCCAAGATTGCTCTGACATCTGATAGCCATTTTGGGACTTGCTTGAACTATGGGACTTCAGAACATAGACCATATAGTAAAGAAAAAACTGAAATCTAACACCATTAGTTTTCTTATTCCTTTTTTTTTGCATGAGTGTATAACTTTTAATCACTGAATAACCTGCCTCCCCCCCCCCCCCCTGTAACACAATACAAAGTTTTATTGCCATCAACCCCTCCTTGGACCACCATTTCTAGTGTCTTATAAGGGATATTAAAGATATTAAAACTATTTCATTTAATACTTTTTTTACCATCTTATCATAGGTACTCAATTACTGTCATCATTCTTAGGTCACAAATTTTAATTACCTGCAAACTTATTATCTATATATGATGTATTATGAAGTCATGAATTACTAATGTATTTATTGAGCAATCAGATAGCCTGAAAAAGAGGTGAAATTATCACTATCACTATAAACTTTGTTACTTTCACGTGACTTTATGGTAACTTGGTCTCCCTCTTGTAATTGTAATACCATGTTAATTGTTGCTGATTCATGAGCACTCCCTTTAAGCCACACTCCTGACATCTTTACATTATTGTACCAAAGGTGGACAACAAGTTTTTGCCCGCTATAAGTCATTACTGTGGAAGAGAATTGATAAACACCAGCCAGTGGTGCAGTGAATATACCAGAACTTGGATTGTAACCTTTCTGTATATTAGTTACAACTTTGTCAAATTTAATGGTATCTTTTACTCCAAGTGATTGCGGCTTTGTCAGAATAGCTGAAAAGGCTGGAGTTGTCTTTTTATTGATGCAGAGACAACCATTGTCTGTAAATATCAAAATTCCATTGTTATTTATTTTGTATTTTATTCATGTTTATGTGATGAATATACATTTTATTTTTGCCACTGGATGTTGAGCCACCATTAATCAAACAATCGGTGATATCTCTTACGGTATTTTTGATTTTAGCAAATCAGATTTATATATTGTTATGTATTGTTTACTTATGTAAATATTTTACTAATTTTCTTATTAATAGATATAGGAAGATGTGGTATGAGTGCCAATGAGACAACTCTCCATCCAAGTAGCAATTTATAAAAGTAAACCATTATAGGTCAAGGTACGGCCTTCAACACGGAGCATTGGCTCACACTGAACAGCAAGCTATAAAGGGCCCCAAAAATTACTAGTGTAAAACCATTCAAACGGGAAAACCAACGGTCTAATCTATATAAAAAAAACGAGAAACAATAAACACATATGAACTACATAAACAGACGACAACTACTGTAAGCCAGCATTTAATTTTGTTATTGTTTTTGCCAGATTTATTCTCAACTCAGACTATAGATTCAGAGCTTGACATATTGTATGGACATCTTTTTTTATAAGACTGTATGTAGCTCTCCTGTTGTCTTTTTGTTATTTTTGTCTTTAGGTTGCTGTCTTATTGACATATACCTTGTATCTCCATTTATTCTTATATTATGGTATATTGAAAAATATAGATATTGTTGAAATATTATAACTTTAAGGGTAACAATATCAAGAAATTTAAAGTCTAATGAAATAAGAATATACCATACCATAAACTTAATTAGTCACAAAACAACTATCATTCAGGAATTTTCAAAGTAATGATAAAAGAAACAAATAGTACTTCCAGCATATATATATATTAAGTGAGTGATAGAAATGAGGTATTATTGTGTAATTAATTTCTTAAAACAAAATTTTAAAAACTTGAAAGTTGTAAACATACCTGAACCTTTGAGTTTCAACACTGTTCTAATGAGATCTCCTAGAAGGGAATTCTCTGAAAGCAAAGAAAAAGGGGACTTGATTAATATTTTTTTTAAATTTGTTAATTCAAAGATTTGCGTGCAAAACTATTATTTTGTTGTACATGAGTGTTAGTACCAGTACTTAAATCCTCATTCAAAATATCTTAGGTGAAAATGTCTTAGCATTTCTGTAAGCTACTGGTAATTCACTTACTACAGTCACAATTAGTATAATTTTAAGTTGATGGTTAAAATAATTTAGTTTTCTTAGATTCAGTAATTAAAAAAAAATATATAAATAAAAGGATGTAACCTACCTATAAAAAGTCAAAACAATTGATAATTATAATTATATTTACCTATTTTCAAATCACATGACCCCTTCACCAGCTCTCCAAGCAAGATGAGAGCCAGGAAAGGAATGCAGTACATCATCTTCATGGTGTTGTTTATTTTTTCACAATTCTGTGATAATTTCAAGCAATTGATAACATTTCAATACTGTCAAAGCATATTTATACATGGAAATTTCAGTACTACATTAACAAAGGAAGGGAGAGTATTAAAATGAAATTTGATATATTTAATGTCTTTTGTCATGCAACACAACAGAAATTCTAGAACAGTGTTCAAATAACATTTTCCAGGAAGAATCCTATCTGTTGTTTAGTTACACTAGAAACAACATTACTTTAGAATATAGTACTACTGGTCCAATATCAATTAGAAAAATATGCAGAATCTTCCTTAAAATTATAATTTTATCATTTAACTGATATTCTTTTGAAAAATATTTTTAACAGACAAAAGGGTTACAAAATTATTAGTTTGGGGCCCAATACAGACATTTTAAGATCCTTCTATTCACCAGCAAATAATATGGGTTACTATTTTAAACCTGACAAAAAAAACCTACTATTTGTAGTATGGTTGGTAAACTGTTTCTGTGCAATAACATGTAAACCACTCAACCAATCTTTTTTTCAGTTTTAAATATGTAGTTTCTGATAACAGAGATGAGGTTAATTTCAAAACTTTTAATGTTTATGAGTTATGGTCCTTGATTGATGGATGAATGTGGCTTTATGTCATTTCTGTCTAATAACCATTCAATCAATTCTTCTCAAACTTTGATTTGTTGTTGCTGATGACAAACATTAAGGTTGAGCTTAATTTTGATCAATTGATTGATTGATTGTTGCTGTTTAACATAACTTTCAGCACACTAAGCTGTATTATGGCAGCCAGTTTCTAAACATGGAGGAAGGTAGAGTACTCAGAGAAAACCATGACCATAGGCAGGAAAACTAGCAATCCTAGTCAGTTAATAAAAGTGTCATGTGCACCTTGCCACAAGCAGGGTTTGAATTTCATAGCATTGGGGCTGACATGCTAGTGATCCCTGTAGTGGACAAATTACCCTATAGCTATTTTAAAGTATGACCCATGATTGCTTTGACAAAATACTAGTAAATGTAAGGCAAACTTGCTTTGCTATCATTTTGAGACAGCCTTTTGTAATTATTTTGGCTTGATATTATATTGTAACAGTAAGACCACCTACTCTCACTTGTAAAACTAACCAACAAATGAATAAGACCATTACTTGATCTGGGTTTTAAACTAATTTATTGCTGGTGTGTGGCTAGAATTTTTTTTTTCCAATTAACCAAACATAATTATCCTATCTGTAATTTAGTAAACTGTAGATTTCACTTATTTTTGTGGGTACCCAATATTTGTTGATTATTTGAATTAGTGGTTCACCTTTACCCTTTTTGCTCATTCTAAATTTAAATCTGTACATACTTTTCCAGCAGAAATGCATTCCTGTTTATTTTAATTTTCAGACAAGGGGACCAGTCAGACAGTGTATATATCATACTTACAGGACGTCTGAGATCTGTAAGAACACATCACAATGGTAAAAAATCACTGGTTGCTGAGTATGGTCGAGGAGAGCTGGTTGGCATTGTGGAAGTACTTACAGACACTGCTAGAACAACCACTATAATGGCTGTCAGGTAAGTGGTAAGGGAAGAAGTCAGGAATGGTTGTATTTCGCGAAAACAAAAATCATGATTAGGAGGGTTTTTGGTATGATTTGTTAGAGTAACAGTGCTCAAGGTAAAATTGCAAGTTGAAAGGCACTATTTACCATAATCATGGCGGTCAGCTTATTATGTAGTATATTCAAGTCAGATATTGCCAAGGACAACTAGTATTGATTCTTCAAAACACTGATAAACTCTGAACTACCAGTTGGTAGCCATTGATAAAATGAGTATATCAAAGGAACAAAGATTATAATTTCAATGTTTGTGTTGATAACACCTGCTTATTGGTTAAAAATATTTTTCTTCCCATTTATGCTCTTTAAATACAGGTTTGTTGCAAGTCAGTATTAACTGATGTAGTCATTACACAAAAGAGCCACAAAAGTATAAGAATAAAACTCTGTGAGAAAAATCATTCCCAGTAGATAATAGAAATGATAAGCTGTGTTGTATTGTACTCATTAGAAGTTATGCATATAAAGCATGCAGGCATCAAAATTATGTTTTAAATTTGGTCAGTATTGGCCTTTGTATAAAGAAATAATCATATTGATCATTCGGTTTTAAGGTCATATGCTAAGGTTGCAGTGACAAAAAATACAAAATTTAAAATGTTTTTGGCCGTTATTATTGAAACAATATTTTTAGCCTTTACTTAAGTTTAAAACAATGACCTGTTTGTTTGGAAAGAATTATAATTGCTTTTTATTTTGTTGGTTAGTAGGTCATACATAGTTCAAGGTTGTATTTATTGATACATACTAAATTTTTGAACAAAGATCTTCAAATAATAGACATTTAATTTTTACAGAGACACAGAATGTGCCCATTTGCCAGCTGATTTACTGAACCTAATCAAACGAAAGTACCCGCAAATTGTAACAAGACTGATACACTTGTTAGGACAAAGAATTCTTGGTCATATTGAAACAAGAGATGAAGTACACATGAGTAAGTTATAAACATTGTAATTGAAAAATGAATGATGTTTTCCTCATTTACTAGTTTTCAATCCTAAAATAAATGCCAAAAATAGTGACAACAAAGGAACAGTTAACCAGAAATTCTTGTGTATTTTTGCTCATTATCTTCAAAATCTGGATGGATGAAAAGAAACTGTACATAGCAAAAATAATAAGCAATATGGGATCCTCAAAAATGTTATTGATTTAAAACCATTAAATTGACGATTAAAGAAGTAATCACCTGGAATGACAATTATTTTACCAATATTGCAGTAATGCCTGTTATACTTGAAAACAATAATAGATAAACAGAAACTGTACACATCAAAAGATATCATCTAGGCAAAAATACAAATTGTTCACTTGACTTTTGTCTTATCATCAGTTTATTGGAGTTGTTGCCCTTTACTGATGATTTTTATGAACAAATAATCTTTTGGATCTTATCTTGAAAGCTGCATACTGCAAAATAGAGAAACAATCAAATTAAGATATACAAATCTTGTTATTATGATGACTTTTTAGATAAGATTTGGGTAGGGGCTAGAAGATTTTATAAATTTATTTTGATGGCCCTGCAACAAAGTTGTCGGGCCATATAGTTTTGCCCTTATCCGTCATTCCGCAACGAACAGTTATACAGACTTATTTCTAAATGCCTTCACATATTGAGCTGATTTTTAGTATGTGATTCTACTATGATGTGTTACAGATGGAGTTTACGTTTGGTTCCTCTCCGAAATTACATGCTTTGGACTGTGAAAATTTCATGAAAATAGCAGTTATACAGATATTTTTTTCTAAATGCCTTCACATATTAAGCTGAATTTTAGTAATTGAGTCTGCTATGATGAGTTACAGATCGAGTTTATGTTTGGTTCCGCTCTATTGATTTTGCTAAAATTACAGGCTTTGGACTTTGAAATTTCATGAAAAAAGCAGTCATAAAGACTTTTACTACACCTTCACATATTGAGCTTATTTTTAGTATGTGAGTCTGCTATGATGAGTTACAGATGGAGTTTATGTTTGGTTCCACTCTGCTGATTTTTGCCGAAACAATGGGCTTTAGACTTTGAACATTTTGTGAAAATAACAGTTATACAGACTTTTTTTCTAAATACCTTTACATATTGAGCTGAATTTTAGTATGTGAGTCTACTATGATGAGTTACAGTTAACTTGAATTAGAAAGGCAGTGTATTATAAAATGAATAAACACATAAATATTTGTTTCTGAAAATATTTAAAGGCGAAAATAAATATGAAAATAGCATATTTTTGGCAGGTGAGCAATTCAGGCTTATGATCCTCAAGTTTTAAGTTATAAGTTTTAAGTGAAATGAAAATAAGAAATATTGAATGAATTTTCTGTATAAAGTTTCCTTCAAATTTTATATGAGTAAAAAAAAAATTTTTAATGGTGTTTTATAAAAAACTGTTCTCTTTAATTAGTCTTCATGAAACAAAACCAATCATAGATATAAAATTTTAAACTTCTTTGATTTTAAGTATTGATATGAACATTGAGAGTGTTCTGATGGATAAAAGTCAACCAAAATATTGGAGATTGAACAAATTTTGATAATGTAAGTGGGTACCCAACACTCTGACTGAAACAAATTTGGGTCATTTAATTTTCATAAAATTTTGACCAAATATTTACTTTGATTGATTGTTGGTTGCTTAACATCCAGTGGCAAATATTTCATGCATGTTCAGGACGATATTTACTTTGACAAAAAATATAAAATTTCAAGAAATTTGAACCACACAATTTATAGAAATAATTTCACTGGATATATAGGAGTTTGACAAACACTAATTTTGATCATTGATAAATTTTATTACTAATAGTATGTGATTAAAACTTTCAGCTGATTTTTAAAGAGTTATCTCCCTTAGGTGTTCTGTACCCCCTTAAATGTGAATTGAATTGATGTATATGAACTTAAACTATTTTTTCAGATCTTGATCATGTATCTGGTATAGACAAAAAAGTATCTGTGGGTAATTTGTCTACAATTGCAGTATTAGCTTCCAATCAAGATGTGCCTTTAACTAGTTTTACTTTGGAATTACAACATAGTCTACAAGCTATAGGTTAGTGAAATGTTCTATGGAATGACAACATAATCTACAAGCTATTGGTAACTTAGAACAACTTTTAATTACAAGCTAAAGATCAAATAATTTTATCACAAACTAATGTACTCTTATAGGTTTTATAACAAGTAAGAATTGGATATCGCATGACGTCAACTTCAGTAAATTAATTTCATTATAATAATAAACTAGCCTTTGGTGAGTTTATTATCATTGAAATTGAATAACAAGACTTGATATTAAGAGATATCCAATTCTTATGAGTTGTTAAACCTATTTCTCTTATGGTAAAAATGATCTTTTTGTAAAAATGATAATTCTGTGAAACACTGTTCTTGTCTTTGGTGTCTAAACAGTTTGATGCCAATAAGTCATGTTCCAGTGTCAAAAATTAGAATAAAAAATGTTCAAGTTTTTTGTACGCTTCAGAATGGAATCAAATTTGACAAAAAGAATATTTTCAGTCGAAATATATGAGTGTTTTGTACATTTTTGAAGAAGTCACAAATCTCTGTTGTCAGGGGTGAAAAGTAATCCTTTGTCATCCTTGAAAGTCATAATTGACCAATCAAATAGCCAACAAAATGTTGCAATTTTGTAACATTTTTAGGATATGCCAACTGAATCAATGCACTTTTATCACCTATTCTTAACACACTCAGTTCAATGTGATACAAGAAATATCTGTTCATGTTGGAAGCAGATAACAGGCCACAACCATTAGAGATAGAAAGTTTTCACATACTTACAAATATGAATAAATGAAGATGTGGTAGATACCAAAAGACAAAAAAAATTAAAAAAGACATCTAGAGGTCAACAAAGATTTCAAAAATAGACAGGTGTTTATACAATTAGTTTTTGTACCTATTTTTGGAGGCTTTAAAGAAAATAAATGAACAAATAAGAATGTACATCAGATATTTCTCAATCAATTTTAAATTACCCTGTATGTCCCTACCGTAGGCAAAGGGGTCATTAAGTTTTATCCTTGACTGTCTATCTGTCCGTCCTTCCATCTTTCCATCCGTCCCATTTTCATTTCCGCACTCTAACTTAAATTTGCCTCATACAAATTTTATAAAACTCGTACACAATGCTAAGACCCACAACAAGCAGACGGAGTTAAAATTTGGGCAGCGAGTCATTTACTGTTCTAGAGTTATGCCTTTTCAACTTGCAAAGCTTGAGCAGGGACATTTGTGTCCTCAGACACATTCTTCTTTTATTGGTATTGAAATCTAACAAAATGAAGTAAAAGACAAACTTCCATGTTGAAGTGCAAACACACAGCAATCAGACAATCTTCTATGTTTTAGTGCAAACACACAACAATCAGACAAACTTTTTTTGTACCAGTGCTATTATAATTGTTACAATTGTATTTTTTAAGAGAAGATTGATTTCAATATGTACTAAAGAAAAAGACTTAATGCAATTATATTTAACCATATGAAAATTCTGCAATATTAAATTTACAAGCTCAACTTTTTAGAAAAGAAAGGATCTCAAGCCTGCTATCTTTTCTTTTCTAAACTAAAGATGTTGCTCTGTAGGCACTTGCTTTGCTCCAGTTAATAAAACTAAAAAAATGAAATTGTTGAACAAACAAAAAGTGTTAGTAAACATTTATGAGAAATAAATGAATTTCTGATGTCTCATACATAGATAACTACTGTTAACATATTTAACAATTATCTTTAAAATTATATAAGATAGAGAGATACTGTAAACCACAAAAAAAAATCAGCAAGATAACATATCATATAACAGTAAACAATAAAAATTATAAGGAAATCAAGAGTGCAAAAAGTCAACATTACCAAAACTGTTGATCGACTCCTTACATGAGTTATTGTCCTTGCATTTTTGGCATTTTGTCTGCTTTTAAAACTTTAATAGATAAAGAGAAATATTAACAACAAAATCTACCAGTAAGATAAGACCTACCATACTAATAAATCAAACCTGACAGAATTGTTAATAGACCCCTACTTGAAGTTTTTGCCCTTAAATGACAATTTTGCTGATTTTTAGCATTTTTTGGCAATTATTTGTAAAACTATAATAAAAGAACAGAAACTGTTAGCATTTGTGAATGATAAAAAAATAAAAATCCGTAAATAATGTTAAAGTAAGGAGATATTTGTGTTGGTGTGATTTTCAATATGACAACTATCCACCAGAGACCAAAGGGCATAGACGTAACAACTATAGGACATTGGCCTTCAACAATGACCAAAACACATACCGTATAGCAAGCTATAAAAAATCCCTGCATGACAAAAATTGAAACAATTCAAAATAATGACATATTTATGCTAGAAACAATAAACTAAACACAAATTTGGCAGACAGCAACAGACAAAAACTACTGAACTACAGGCTCCTGATATGGACAGGCACATCAAGAATATGTCAGAGTTAAACATGTTTATGAGTGCTCCACCTAAGCTTGAAAAATATAAGTCAAAATAACCAATATTATTATTTGACATCTTGAAGGAGTTATTGCCATTGATTTACAAATTTTGACAATTTTTTGCTTTTTATACGCCCGTTTTCGGGACGTATTATGGTATACCGTTGACCGTCTGTCCGTCAGTCTGTCTGTCCGTCCGTCTGTTGTCAACATGTCGTACATTAACTCAAAACAGCTTTAACCAGTATGCATGAAACTTTGGTGAATTGTTTATATCTATTGATGTGAGCTCCCTTTCGTTTTTTATAAATTTTAGATTTACCGTTTTCGAGTTTTGGGGTTTTATTCATTACTAAAGAGGCAATTTTCCTGTTTTCCGACAATAATTCAAGAATGCTTTCACCAACTTGCAAGAAATTTTGATCAATTATTTATATCTATTGACATAAGCTCCCTTTCGATTCTTATAAATTTTAGATTTTACGTTTCCGAGTTACAGGGTTTTATTCATGAAAAAAGGGATTATTGTGTAATTTTCTGAAAATGTCGATATTTTCAGTCTGTTCTGATCCTGTTCTTTCAATATTTGAAAAAAAACTATCCTATGCTTTAAAAGAAAAAAAACATTTATTATTAATTGCAGGTCTTACAACAAGATTAACCAGTGATATTGTCAAACAAAACTTAGGAACTGGTGCATTTGACAGGTAAATCTCAGGAATTATTTCAGATATGTAATTATAGTATTAATTGAGAGGCCGAAAGTGTCATATGATAAGTCATTACTGTTAATAACATGACATTTCATGTTTATTGAAGAGCCTAAAAACAGCTATTATTTGTAAACATTTCATTTATATTTATAGGTTTCATAACGAGTGAGAATGGGATATCCCTTTATATCAACTCGAGTTATTTAATTTCAATATAATAATAAACTAGCCTTCCGTGAGTTTATTATTACAATTTGAATTAAATAACGAGAGTTGATATCAAGCAATATTTAATTCTCACAAGTTGTTTAATCTATTTCTCTTATGGTCAACACTCTCATTATGTTAAATAAAAAATTCTGCGAATTGTTCATCTAGTCTTTTGCACATGACAGTATGACGTCATATGTCCTTTTCCGGTGTCAAACTTTAACATCAGACATTTTAAGACTTTTTGTACGCTTCAGAATGTAATAAAATTTGACAAAAAGAAGATTGTCGGGTGAAAAGTGTGAGTGCTTTGTATATTATTGAAGAAATCACTGATGTCCGTTGCCATGGACGAAATGTACTTCATCTTAACCTTTGAAAGGCATTAATGACCTAAAGAATAGCCAATGGAAATGCTGTGATATCGTCTTATGATGCTGGATAAGCCAATCAAAGTAATGCAGCTTTTCGTATCACTTTTTCGTATCACACTCCGTACAGTGTGATAGGAGAAATATCTATTCATGCAAGAAATAGATAAAAGGCCACAACCATAAGAGAATTAGCACAACATGATACGGAAGTTCTCAATTCACAGGTTTATAATAAAAAAATTACTGATTTACTCTTATGCATGAAGGAAGAGAACAACTTGCAAAAACTAAATCATTCAAGTTTCTGTTTTAATACAAATATCATATGTTTCATATTATTCAATACCAATTTTTAGATACAAAAATTATCCTTATTTTACAGTATAAATGAGTTCCGACTATTCAACTGGCTTGGTCAACAAGAGGACATGAACATAATAACATTATATCAGTGTGACTATAGCATGACAAGATGGACCAAACATTGTATCAGACAAGCTGACTGTATATTAATTGTAGGTCTGGCCAAAAATGACCCTGCAGTAGGGGAGGTAAATATTGACATAGATATGCATATTATAAAACCACTATCATTATATTATAGTTTATCCCCAGTCCCCAACTCATATATTGCATTCACTATATCTGTCCATCTGTTGTCAGTTTGTCACAAAATCTTTTGTCCTCAGTTGTGACATGAGATATAGAAATAAGAAGACATGGTATGACTGTCAATGAGACAACTTTCCATCAGAGACCAAATAACATAGAAGTTACTAACTATAGGTCACCATACATCCTTCAACAATGAGCAGAACCCATTCCACATAGCAAGCTACAAAAAGCCCCGACATGACAAATGAAAAATAATAAAACAAGAAAACTAACATCTTGAGTTATGGTATGTAAAAATTAATAAACCAAAAACAAATATGATATACAGCAACAAACAACAACCTTTGAATTACAGGCTTCTGACTTGGGACAGCCACATACAGAATGTGTCATGGTTGAACATGACTGTAGACACTCAATGGTCCCCTTAACCTGGGACAGTGGTGTAACAGCACAACATAAGGACAAACTATGAAAATGGGTTGAAAAAGGCTTGACTCATTTGATTGTAACAAAACACACAAAAAATACTTACAAAAAGACTTAGTAAGACGTAAGTACTGATCTGAGAGTACCGCAGTTACTGTAAGCTAGTTCAAAGCCAATAACAACTAATAGAAAAATCATGTTGTCAAGACTGAAATATCATTCAGTAAACTTCCAATGGATTTAGTGTAAAGACTTCATAAACAGTCCGAGAAAACATGATCTTGTTCAATGACAACATATAAGTATCAACTGAATGTATGACAGTAAATGATCATAGATATATAGCAATAATAATTAGTAGTGTATTAATTTATTGATAACAAAATCAATGTTTGTACCGATAAAAATAATATTCAAAGATCTTAATACAGTGTTGAATCGATGACCTTTTAGAAAAAAAATATTTAAAGGATTGATAAGTTCAACGAATTTTAGTGGCTTTATAAATAATATTGTCATGAAAATTAGGATGTGATTTAAGTTTTCTATAAGTATAACCAAACTTTCAAACCAATTCTTTGTATCTATGAAAAAGAATTTTAGTAAAGGTTTTAAGTAATTTGTGGTAATGAAATCCCTGACTTAATAATTTACCAGTGATACATAGATTAGGTTTATTGAAATTTATGATATCACTACTAACACTGGCATAGTTATCAAGTTGGGATATATAAACATCATAAAATGGGGCCAAAGACACATCACCTTCCAAAAAATCAACAGCTTTAATCAGCTCATATCAACTACAGTAAGTATCTTTAGCATATTTAGCTTTTTCACAACAGAAGAAGGCTTTATATTAATTGCAGCAAATGGATTTCAACTCAGATTTTTCAAACAACCATTTAATTAAAAAGGAAAACTTTTGTTTGATAACATTGTGTTGAAGTGTAGTGTAGAGAGTTGAAAATTAAGAGTCTTCAACTGAATTAAAAGAAACACCGAAAGCAAGTAATGTAAAACATCCAAAGAATTTTGTATACTCCTAAAATAGACAATTCCATTATTTTCATAGGCTTTATTACAAAAGTTGATAATAATTTCTTTGATAGTAGTTAAGGAACTAGTTAAAAGCTCTAAAAGTTAGTTTTAGAACATTATCTAGAGGCTGAGATGAAATGATATTTAACAGTTTTTTGTGTAGATTCAGTAACCAATACATTCTAGGTACCTTCAAATGTTTAGGAGAGGCCTTAAGCTGAAGTTTTGTAATGATATGATTGTTTACTATTTGACTCTACAGAGTGCATGGACCTGAATGTAGAAGAGTACTTATTATATCTGTCTGTTTGCCTATACAGTAGTGTCCGGTAATTCCGTCCGTCCGGTAAACCTGCCCTCTCCCATTTACTTCCGTTATTGTCATTTCTGTGAATATTTCGTCTGCTATTTTATTCATAGGAGCTGTACTTATCATCACTGCATGTCAAATTTTAAAGAAAAATCCTTTATTACGAAAATATCTAGTGATATATATAATACAGTTGCTAAAGCTAACAATATTCATAGTATTGCTTACAAAACTCGTTTCTGACTTGAATTTTTTTTTTTTTGGATTGTCTGGAATCCCTTTATAAGTGTTCTATAAATAGATCACCTTTTTCTTCCATAAATATGTGATAAACTGGCCCTCCATACATATTTACTGCACATGGGCAGATTTACCGGACAAACACATTTCCGATAAAATCACAGATGACCCACTTGTTTTGTTGATTTTCAAAATTTATTTCAGATATTTTTGGAAAATGAGATAAACTACTCAAAGTTGATTTGTCAGTGAATCGATTTATATTAAATATGATACTATTTGTATATAATTAAGCAGAAATACATACGATCAAAGCCTTATGTGGGCGGATTTACCGGACTCCATCATACTTTGAACTTTTCAATATGTTGAAAGAACTTTTAAACTTTCCGTTACACATTTCTCCAAGATTTCAAAACAGAATGACTTCATATAAGTCAGTAGCTTGGCATTGATGAGTTGTAATGTCTGTACACTTTTCAAATCAGAAGCCTACTTATTGTTTTCCTGTACTTTGAATTATGAGTGGGGTATGATTTGCACAACAATATAGGCATTCTTGTTTGTTTTATGCTAATTTTTTTGCACGGATCAACAAACTTCTTGTTGTTGTTTTATTAAACATAATGACCTTCATAACAAATAAGTTACTCTAAATAATAGTATTTCTCAAACTAATTGTCCACTCATTCCTTAGTACTTTGATAAGAGTACTGCATGTAGCTTATAAATACTGGAGGAAATATATTATCAAAAAACATTAGATATTGAAATTTACATTCTAAGCTGAGATTTATAATTCCATACAAATTTTAAATATGATGTATCTTCTAAACTAACTTGGTGATCAGGAACTGATCATATTATAGACTGAAGTGATCTTTCTACATGGGAGGTAATTTATTTCTGTCAATGTCTTTCTGATGATGTAGAAAGCACCTTGATTAATATTGATAATTACTGCTTACAGGTAGAGCAACAGATGGAGAACATAGCAGTTAGAGCTCAGAAAGAGTTGGTTTTGTTACATGATGAGGATGCAGAATCACCTAAAGGGACCATAGAATGGTTAAATGCTAGGGGCTGGTGCTCCTCACATCATCATATCAGATGTCCTAAAAGGGTTCTGAAAAAACAATCTGAAATTAGAGTGGTAGGAATATAACCTTGTTTATTTATTTAATTTATCACTTTTGTAACTTAAATACCAGGTATAGGATGTGCAAATAGAAGCTTCTTTTGTAGGCAAATTTTACAAGTAAGTTATTAAATGAAATGTAATATTTGAGCTCAATAAGACAAGAATTAAAATATGGATTAAAAAGACATACGCTTTAACTGCTTTTGCTTCCTTGTCATTATTGAATCAAATCTACCTTAAGTCAGAGGGGGGATGTGGTATATTGTAATAAAATTTCTTTCAAACTGTTACACTTGATTTTATTCTTGATTACACATTATTTACCAGTATATCCCACAGACATATAAAAGTCTTGTTTGTTAGGAGTTTTCATCCAGTCATGGTTGTGATGAAGACTGAATAGTCTTCATATGTAAGCAATTCCTAAGATGAAAAATCAACACAATAAGGTCTTAAACTAAAATGGAAAAAAACTATAAAAATAACATAATAAATCAGTTGTAAATCTTCTCAGTGCATGACATTTATTTTTTGACTTGTTCAGATAAAGTTATACACAATGTTCTTACAGGTTGAAAGTTATGAGAAGGTTTATCAAACAAAGCCTGACAGATTGTCAGATTTTTCACGTCTTGCAAGATTTTTGACGGGGACATCTGTTGGCTTAGTATTAGGTGGTGGAGGAGCAAGGTAAGATAAAAGATTCTAATTTGAGTTTGATCTTGGATGTCTTCCATAAGTGTGATAATCTATCTTTTCCAATTTTATAATAAATAACAGAAATTAAGGAAAAGATTGTTCTATCTGAACCTTTCCACCTGCTCTTTACCAAACCAACTCCAATTTAGAAATTCAATCACAATTTAGGTAGTATGTTTGAACAGATACAAATTATAATCAGACTACTTGTGAATTCATTTGTTTTACTCTACTGTGAACTTGAAGTAAAACTTGACTGTTAGATTCTTAAAAATTAGCCAACATGACACCAAAGCATTTCCTTACCAACACATAGCTAGATCAAGACAGTGTGAAAAAGTAAGAAGATTTCATGGGAGGAGGCATTCAAAAGCCATATTTCAAAGAAATACAGACAACTTTGGTTTTGTTAGGGTTTCCAATGGTAGTAAGATTGGTCCTTTTTCATTTTCAATTTGTTGAATGTAGCATAAGTGATAAACTTCTCAAAAACTGAATTAATATAGATTCTACCACTGCACTGAGTGTGATACGATATTTACTCACTCGAGACAGTTAAATTTTCAAATTTAAAATGCGAGGCTCGGAGAGCATCTTTAATATTTAAAATTTAACTGTCGAGAGTGGAGAAATATCATATTGCACGAGATTTGGTGGTTTAATCAGTTTTTCTAATGATTTTTAGACGATGTGTGATCCTTTTTTTAGAATGATCTGCAAAAAGATGTGTTTTTTCTATGTAACGTCATCAGGCATGGTCACCTTTTTTTTTGTGACGTCACAATGGGAAATTCAGAGGAAAGCAAGAAAATCTGACATCATAATTGAATTTTGACCAATGAAGAACTGAGATTAAACAAACCACAGGTTGATTAGATAAAAATAATCAACAGGTCAAGAGAAGGATAAATTGGCTAAGAATTAGAGAAATGTATTTACACATGTGAAGCTGGACATAGTTTTAAAGTTATGAATAATCATTTAAATGATCCTCATGAAATTTATTTAAAGAATTTTTAGTTTGTGTCTGATGTCTGCAGATCTATAGGTATATTATAAAATGATAAACAAAATTTAACATTTCAGAGGTCTTTCACACATAGGAATTGTAAAGGCCTTACTTGAGGCAGAAGTTCCAATAGATATGGTAGGGGGAACCAGTATGGGCTCTTTCGTAGGTGCTGTATGGTGTGAAGATAGAAATATAACCAGATTTACACAGAGGTGTAGAGAATGGTCCATGGTTGGTATAATATTAAGTCAAACTACAGTGGATAATCATGTGTTTTTGCCATGCACAGAATGCAAAGGACTTCATCAAAATAGGATTTGAGTTTTATTTTTTAGTTCAATAATAAATTTGTTGTAATTTGGCTTAAAAATAAGTGCTTTTGCATATTCATTATAACTCAAATTTATCTATGTATTTCACCTCCTCTTTGGCAATGTAAGATGAAATCAAATGAAGTGATTTTCAGATCTAAATTAGTATATATTGATTCATTCATGAAGTATATCAGTATTAGAAAGTGAAACAGAAAGATTGATTGATTGATTGGTGTTTAACACCACTCTCAGCACTATTGACTATTTTGTGGTGGTCAGTCTTTATTGTTGGGGGAAGTCTGAGTGCCCCAAGAGAACCACTGACCTTTTGCAGGAAAACTGACACTCCTAGTCAATTAAGATTAGAGTTGAGGACACCTGCCATGTTGGGTATTGGAACTCACAATCTCAGTGTTTACAGGCTAATGATTCAGTAGTTGGACTACATAGACAACTCACCCATGAGACCCCTATAAAAATTATTTGCAGTATGTTAAAGAAATTTTCTATACTGGGTACCTGTTACAAATATATAGATTTTTGACTCCATGAAACAATTGTTATTTTGCAGGACATGACTTCAATATGGCAGAAAGTATTAGATCTGACTTATCCTGTTACATCAATGTTTACAGGTATATATTGATATAGAGAAATGCTAAACAATATACCTTTAAGTTTGCATCTTTTGTTTTTAAGATAAGGTCAAGTAAAACTTTAAAAAAGTATAGAAAGAAACAGATTAAAAATTCTTGATAAAATGTCTGAACAGATAAATGCTCTAAAAAAAATTAGCTTTTCACATGTTAAGTAAAAGATTTTACATGATTAAGTACTAAAGTACTGGGAAAAAGATGATGTGATTTGGGACCAAATTGGTTCTTAAAATAAATGTACTCTCTGATTCTACAGTTTACGGAATAATATTTTTGATCTTTAAAGTTTAATAAAATATTTTTATTTTTATGCCCCTGCTGCAAGGTGAAGGGGCATTAAGTGTTACCCTTGACCGTCCTTCCGTCCGTCCCATTTTTAGCTCACCGTGACCAGAAGGGCCCCATGTGAGCTTATGCCATCACTTGGCGTCCGTCGTCTGTCGTCGTAAACTATTTCAAAAATCTTCTCCTCTGAAACTACTGGGCCAAATACCTTCAAACTTTAACTAAATGTTCCTTAGGGTATCTAGTTTATAAATTGTATCCGAAGTTTTGATCCATCGACAAACATGGCCACCATGGCTAAAAATAGAACATAAGGGTCAAATGCAGTTTTTGTCTTATATCTTAAAAACTAAAGCTTTTAGAGCAAATCTGACATGGGGTAAATTTGTTCAATTGGTCAAGATCTATCAGCCCTGTAATTTTCAGACGAATCGAACAACCCATTGTTGTGTTGCTGCTACTAAATTGGTAGTTTTAAGGAAATTTTGAAGTTTTTTGTTATCTTGAATATTATTATAGATAGATATAAACTGTAAACAGCAATAATGTTCAGCAAAGTAAGATCTACAAAAAAGTTAATAAGACCATAATTGTCAATTGACCCCTTAAGGAGTTATTGCCCTTTAAAGAAAATTTTACACAATTTGTTTATCAAGTTTGCTTACATTTAAAAATCTTCTACTCTGAAACTACTGGGCCAATTACCTTCAAACTTAAATAAATGTTCCTTAGGGTATCTTGTTTATAATATGTATCTGAAGTTTTGATCCATTGACAAACATGGCCGCCATGGCTAAAAATAGAACATAAGGATCAAATGCAGTTTTTGGCTTATATCTCAAAAACTAAAGCTTTTAGAGCAAATCTGACATGGGGTAAAATTGTTCAATTGGTCAAGATCTATCGGCCCTGAAATTATAAGACAAATCGAACAACCCTTTTGTTGGGTTTCTGCCACCAAATTGGTAGTTTTAACAAAATTTTGCAGTTTTTTGTTATTATCTTGAATATTATTATAGATAGATATAAACTGTAAGCTGCAATAATGTTCAGCAAAGTAAGATCTACAAAAAAGTTAATCTGACCAAAATTGCCAATTGACCCCTTAAGGAGTTATTGCCCTTTAAAGACAATTTTACACAATTTGTTCATCAAGTTTGCTAACATTTAAAAATCTTCTCCTCTGAAATACAGGTGAGCGATTCAGGCTCTTGAGAGCCTCTTGTTTGATTGAAAAGCAAGCTTGATGGAGGGCGTTCATGTCCTCAGACACATTCTTCTTTTATTCTATAAAGATTTTCTTTTTATTAGTTATGCAGTCTTTTGAAATGATACAAATTAAGTCAAACAACCAAGCGATGCATGAACTTGATCATTTGACACTTACGTCCTAAAATATAATATACAGCATAACAGCACAATAATTGCCAAAATAAATTATTACACAGAAGGTCTTTTTGTTACTGATCTTCTTGCTGATAACAGCTTAAATGATCATTAAATGAATTCTTCTTTTTGACTAAAATCTGTCAGTTTTCCCTCACAGTTATAAAGTGTCATCTATCAACAGCTATTATATATTTTTCTAGAAACTTTAAGTTTTTTTTTGTATTTTTATAAAATATTTTGTTGTTTGTTGAAAACTTACAAATTAGATATGAAGTATTTTATGCTATATGTATGCAATATCTCTTACAGGTGAAGACAATTTATTGCTGATAATTTACTGGTTTTGCTCTGAATTATGTAAAGAATTAATAATGAAATAGATTTTAAAAATATATATGTACTGTCCTTTTCTTTAGGTAAATCGTTTAATGTGACATTAGAGAAAACCTTCAAAGACCGACAAATAGAAGATTTATGGATTCCATACTTCTGTATAACTACTGATATTACAAGTTCTTCAATGAGAATACATACTCATGGTAAGATTAACCCTTTGTATTCATATGTACCAGAATGTATCTTTATAGCAATTAGCCTATAGGTATGAATGATTCTTTATGAATTATTTGCAACTTTCTATATTTTTCTATAAAGAAGTATCTTTTGATATTGTAAATAACTTTCCTGTGGCTTTTTCCCCTACATATACATTGGACATTATATTCTACCAGATGTGTGACTTTTTTGTTGCATATATCAAATTTGTTGACATTTTTTTCGTTTACTTTCCACTCTAACTTTGATTTTAGTCCCTCAGTGTAATATAGAGAGGAGGACAAAGAAATGTTTGTAAGTGCTCTCACAGCAACATTTCTTGTTAAATTTCTTTAAAATTTTTGTGCAAGGTTTGTATTAGCAATGAATGAGTGTCAAAATTATTCTGAAAGATTAGTTTCATTGAGATATGATATTTGAAATTTTGAAAGCTTTATATTTTGACAATATCTCATTTCAGTTTCAAAATAGTTGCCAATTGAAAACTTTTATATGGAGTTGTGGCCATAGGAAAGTTACAAGGGAAATGTCTTAAAAGTACTCTCTTGTCATAAGTCATTGAAATATGAATCATGTTGAAAATTGTCTTGTATGTGCTTTCACACCTTCAGTTCCCAAAGGATTTTACATTACGGTACTGTATTTATTATAGATTAATTTGAATGCATTTATTCATTAAATATGTTTTAAGATATGATTATATACATAAGAAGAGTGTGTACTTGGTATAGATCACATTCTGAATACAACTCATGATCACTTGAGTTTGTATTATTATTTAATCCTTGTCAAGTTTGTATAATGATAAATTTAGTGTGTGTTTAACAGATCTTAATAAACTTTTTACTCTGTGGATAGAATTTGCATTTTGATTTTTTGTTTCTAAAATGTTGATTAAGGAGAAAACTAACGGCCTGATCTATGTACAAAACAATAAACGAAAAACAAATATGATATATAGCAACAAACAATAACCACTGAATTACAGGCTCCTGACTTGGGACAGGCACATACAGAATGTGGTTGGGTTAAACATGTTTGCTGGCGCCATACCCTCCCCCTAACCTGGCACAGTGGTGTAATAAAAATCAGCTGAAAAGGACTTTACTCATCAGATCGATACAAAGTACATAAAAACCCCAACAAAAACAGAAAAGACACAAAGTACAGATTCACAGTTACTGACAGCTAGTTCAAAGTCATTAACAACTAATAAAAAATCTTGTGTCTAAGACATATATATCAATCAGTACACATCCAACATCCAATTGATTAAGTGTAAAGACGTCATTATAGTCCATTTTTCATCTATCATGTGTCTAAGACTAATATATCAATTGCTACATATCAAACATGGATGAAATGTAAAGACATCATTAATAACCCATTTTTCACCCACCTTAATCAATGAAGTTTATAACAATTTTACAACCGATTAAATGTTCTTTTGTTTGTTTTGGCATATTCAGATGTGTTGTTCTAGAGTTGTATGACTTCAATATTTGAAATAAGGTTTTAGGGCATGCTTTTCATGTTTTTCATGGCATAGCTGTTTTACTGAATTTTTAAAACAAAGTACTTGGACAGTCTTTTATACATTTCATTTTGCCATTATTTTAAACTTTTTCACACATTTCTGACATAGAATATCTATTTCTTTTAAACAGAAAATCCATAGCAATTTGTCCCAGCCAGTATTTCACTGTATGGGTATATGCTACTTTAAAATTTCCAAATTCAGACAGGATGTTTTTGTTTTAAGATCAGATTAACACGTATTATAATTGCTACATTTTAGGCAGTTTGTGGCGATATGTGAGAGCCAGTATGTCACTGTCTGGATATTTGCCACCATTGTGTGATCCTATAGATGCCCATTACTTACTGGATGGAGGCTATGTCAACAACTTGCCTGGTTTGTTATATCTTTATTTAATAGATGAAATATTAACAGACCTTTTATTCTGTTATCAGCAAGCACATTAAAGAATTTCTTAAAAACTCTGTCATATTTACAAGAAATATTTCCATTTTAAAGCATATGAACATTGTCCAGTTTTGGTAACCACGACAAGTTCATCAACTATTCCCTCGAATGTTTGCGAATTCTTAACCTAGACTTCAACTTAAGTTAGAAGTGTTTTTCTGTTTTAAAGCAAAAAATTACTGTAATATAGATTTAGAAAAGAGCTTTGGGATAAATTCCATTGAGAATACTCCCAACTAAAACAAAAAAAAAGTCATTTATAACCTTTTTCAAAGAAGATAGAGAATATAGTTTTTGCCTTTGTATTGTGAATAATTTTATCATCAATTTTGTTCTTTATTAAACAGCTGATGTTATGAAACAATTAGGAGCCAACTCTATATTTGCTGTAGATGTTGGTAGTCGAGATTCTACAGAGTCTTATAACTATGGAGATAAAATCTCTGGTTTCTGGTTACTGGCTAACAAATGGAGTCCATGGTCAGAAACAGTTAAGGTATATAATTTGACTAGTTGATTTTACAATCATTATTTTCACTATAAAAGTTTTTATGTTTTTTAAAGCCATAAATAGATCCAATGAAGAAATCAATTGATTGCTAGGGATCCTTTATATTTTTGCAGATTTCTTTCGGAATTTGACCACAACATTATTGCTTTATTGAAATCTTGATATCAATATCTCTAAAAGATATGACACCCCTGTGCTTACTGGATTGTATAGTAAACCATGGCAATACTAAATGTAACATTGATATTGATTAGATGACAGTGGAAAGTGTTCGCTTAATTTCCTATCAACATAACTTAGCTTCATCTTGATTTCCTCCAAAAATAATAGAACTTTATAAAAACCAATAAATATTCCACAAAGATTGATTTTTTTTTTTACATTAAAACTGGTGCAGTGGAAATTATTGGTTACTGTGGATACAAAGTTTCATGGATTGAGGTGACCTTGCATATTCGTGGATATTTGATTGTGTGATTTTAAAGATTAATACGTACATTCCTATAGAAAATTTGTAATTTGTTGAATTTAAAAAAGAAATATATGAATGAATGAATGATCTTTATTCTCATAAACCAAATACATAGTTACCGAGAAGATATTACAATAATAACAGATATTAAATATAGCATGTGTGAAATACAAATTAATATGATAAATATTTACACAAAAGATAAATAAACATATAGTTGTTTTTAACCAGGAGGATAGACTTTCACAGAGATAGATTTGATAAATCTACATAGTTTCTCAAGCTCAACAATATTTTGGGTTGAACATACTTGTTTGAATTTAATAACATTTATATTTTTATTACAATATTGTGGTAAGTATTTGCTTCTTTCATCTTTCAAAAAATTACATGACATGATATAATGGTATTCATCACCAATGTCAGCTGAGTCGCAAAAGTGACACAATCTTACAGATCTTGGAATGTTGCGCCACCTTCCCGTCTCAATGGGCAAATGGTTATTCCCACATCTTAATTTACATAAGGTTATTAATAAATTAAATGGTAGTACTGATAAATAGTGCTCAAATATAAAAACATTTTTGTACAATCTATAACACAGCCCCTTGGGCGAATTGTTCATTTCTGTTGACCATTCTTGAATGATCTGATCTCTTAATCTTTGCTGAACACTTAATACGACCCAACGTTTCTGAAATAAGTTGTGACTTTGCCATATATTTGACATTCCACAGTGATCAAAAATTTTCTTTATATATGATACCCATTTACTATCATAACCATAGTTATTGAGATTTACATATAACAGCTTATATAATAAACATAATATTTTTCTCTCTTTTCCTTCTTGTAAGCGACACCAGAAACTAATCATACGTGACTTGACGGTAACTGAAATAGGGTATCTTCCCAATTCCCCATAGATCATAAAATTGGGGGTTGAATTTTTTAACCGTAATATATGCTTGCAAAAACGCAAATGAACTCTCTCAAATATATCTTAATTTTAGAATCCCTATATCTCACACCCATATGTTAGTATAGGAACAATAGCCTTATCAAACATATCTAGTTGGCACTCGATTGACAAGTTATTTAATCTGGATTTTTTTATTACAGCATACATTGCTTTAATCGCCTGGTCATGTAGATATTTTCTGGTGGAAAGAAATGAGCCACTTCTAGAAAATATGTTACCAAGATATTTATAGCTACTGACTATCTCAAATTCATTTCCATCTATATTAAATGTCAAGTTTCGGTGTGTTCTACCTTTTGAAAATATCATAATTTTCGTTTTATTTATATTAATTTTCAATTTCCATTGTTTACAATACTCTGAAAACTTATCTAACATACATTGTAAATCATGGCTAGATTCAGCAAGTAGTATTGTATCATCTGCATACAATAACAGAAAAATTTTAAAATATACAAAAAGTTCGTTTTCAATGTCTTGTGTACCCTGTACCCTGTACCAACAAAATCAACGAAAAATGGTATCCCATTGATAGTAATGAATCCACAGTTATATTTTTTAACATTTTTAGATCCTTTTCTTTAACGTCAAACAAAATTATAATAGGTCAACTATTCTATTTTTTGGAGCATGGCTTGACTGTATTTTGTTGTGTTGAATTGATTTTAGAAAATATGTCATTTAACAGCCAATGTATGACAGAAAGTCACAGGACAAAAAAATAAGGACAAAAAGTCACTATTAGTTTTGAGATTATTTTTCTTTAAAGAAACACTTATTATTAAAAAGAAGTGTATTTTTCTTGAATTAAAGTTATACATAAAGCATCTTTGTAAACAAAATTTATACTAAAAAAATCAATAATGTTAAAATAGTTGTTAAGAAAACAATTTGTCAAAGTGGCTTGGTACTTAAATGGCTTCATTGTGCCAAAAAATATGAAATTTGATAAATCTTCATTTATCAAGGCTTATTAATAATTTCATTAACTGTTAAATGAATATATGTAATAAAAAGAAATTATTTCATGAACTTTCTCTTATATGTTCAAACAGTTATAAACAAATTGTTTGTGACTTTTTGTCCTATTGAATTTGTGAGACTTTCTGTCCTGTGACTTGTACTGTATTTCTCTGTCTGCTTACTTTGACAGCACTGTGGTATTTAAGATGTATTTTTTTTCTTGTAAAGGTACCTGATATGGCAGAAATCCAGTCTCGCTTAGCCTATGTATCATGTGTACGTCAGTTGGACCATGTTAAAAACAGTGACTATTGTGAATATATAAGGCCACCAATAGATAAATATGCCACACTGCAGTTTGGAAGCTTTGATGAAATAGCTGTAAGATATTATTCATAGAGATATGTGACAAAATAACATGGTTTAAATACAATTGGGAAGTTTAGCTAACAAAAAAAATATGAGTTGAGAACAAAATTATAAGGTTTTAACAACTCAAATACACAAATAAAAACAGAAAATGTAATTGTATCTACTGTATTTTAATGTCCCAACTCTTTTGCATTGCTAAAAAATAAATTTTAGAATTTATTGTGTTTGTCTTATAGGGAAAAAAAGACAAAACGTATTAGAAATTTTTATGAAGAACATGATATAATTATGTTTTAAACCACTGCTGTGGCGGTAGGGGCATTAAGTGTTACCCTTGTCCGTCCATCTGTATGTATATCCCAAAATTAGTTTCTGTTCTCTAACTTAATGTTGCCTCAACCAAATGTTACAAAAATCTTATACAAAATGCTATTACCACAAAACACAGATTAAGTTCAAATTTGGGTTGCATCACTTTTACTGTTCTAGAGTTATGTCCCTTTATAAATGGAAAAATTGCTGAATTTTTCGTTTTCGTTCTCTAACTTTAGTTTGCCTTAACCAAATGTTATGAAACTTATACACAATACTTATTACCACAAAACTCCAATCCAGTTGGAATTGGGTGGCGTCAGTTTTAAAGTTCTTTAGTTATGTCCCTTTATAACATGAAATCCAATAGAGGGGAGGGGTGTCATCTGACAGTGTGTCCCATGGACACATTTTCCATTTATTTGAATATATAAATAAAGAATATGAAATAATTTGATTAATCCAAACAATCTTATATAATATACAACAGAAATAACAAATAAATGCTATTTATTTAATGAAAAATATTTATAAATAAGAGGAGAAGTATAGAATTGTATTTTACCGACAAATAACACTCAATAACCCCAAAAGTCTAGAAGTTGAGGTATTTATTTCTCCTTTTTTTTTCTTTTTTTTTTTTGTGGCATAAAAATTTTGCTTATTTACACTGTAAAATAGTAGTAGAGAGTGTGAAAACTACTGATATAGATATTCATAAAACATTATCTAAGACCAAATTGTTTTTTACTTTTAGGAGATTGGAATCTGTGTTTATTATATCATTAAGTAATTATAATAAGAATTAAAATGGTAATTTTTCTTTATTTTCCTGTCATTTCAATGAAATCTTTAGGCATTTCTATTTTCCCAATGTTTTCCTATTTTGTCAAATGAGATCACTTGCTAACCCTTATTCTTATTATTATTTCCACCTGAATCTTATTAAAAATCTATTTTCTCAGAACATTGGAATTAATAATCATTTTAAATGGTGTATTATCTTTCTTATTTTTATCATCTTTTTGAAATAAAAAAAATCCAAAAATTATTTTTTTGAATTAATAAAATAAACAATAATTAAAGTTTGTCTTTAAAATTATTATCAGTAATTAAAATGTTTATGTAGTTAATCATAAGTTATCTTTTTACCTGACCAGGTGGTCACTAGGTGTCAAAATTGGAAAGTCTTCAAGGAATACACCAAATTTACCTGTATGATTAATAGAACTTAATCCCCATACAAAAGGTGTTAAGAAAAGATGCCACTTCCATGGACTTTGTATATTGCAATTTCCCATTTAAGAAAATGGTCCTAAGACATTATATATATTGTCATTACACAAAGCAATAAAACTATTGTTTTATAAAATCCTGTCTTTTGTTCTTTTTGAAAAATGTTGACGCTGTTTATTGTGAATATTGGATGTCTCATCTGATGAGGAGGAAGTGTGAAGATTTAGGGGGTGTTATATAAAGAAACTTATGCACCTTACTGGTCATATTCAAATGCATCTTGAAGTACGTCAAGTCAACAAGTAATAATCCAGTAAAGATCAAAGAGAAAATTAAGGTAGGTGTTTTTATATTTAATTAATTTTAAGAAGGCTACAATAAATTAATAAAGAAGATTAAGTTTAAAGATTAATTTATTGTGGCCAAACTGTTAAGTCTTACATATGATAGATACAATGTTTGTGTGGTAAACTATCAGAAAGTTACAGGACCAAAAAGTCACAAAATTGATAGGACAAAAAGTTAAAGTTTACGATTGTTTAGATATAAAAGAGAACATTTTTTGAAAAATTGTATTTCTTAGTATTGGTAAATGCATATTAATAAAAATTTAATCATACAAATTATATATTTCTTGGCAGTATGAAGCCAGTGAACTAAGAAGCCAACTCGACAGCCTCTTTTCACTACAATTGTTTGATTATTATTAAATTTTGCCAAAAAATTAATTTTCAAAGTTATTTTATATATCAAAGTCAAAGAAAAATACATTAATGATTTTGAAAATAAGTGTTTTGTTTATCAAAGTAAACATTATCTCAAAACTTAATCATGACCTTTTGATCTGTGACTTTCTGTCCTACATTCAAATGTACATGGTAAACAGAATTATTCTCATAGTAAACAGAATAAAGTAACATTTTGAAGATGTTTCACACTGGGTTTATTTCTATTTTATCTTTAGCTGTGATATAATAAAGCATTGAATATATTCATTTTGCCTGATTGACAATATTATTGTATAGCCCAATACAAAAACTCCAATTCTAAGCCATGTAAAATTGACCATAGAATTTAAGATATTTTCTTTATGCAATGACTAAAAATGCACTACTTTTATGAAATTTTGGTACAACAAATGAGGGTGTCGCTTAACTTCCCTTGAGATCATTTAAGGACAACAACAAAATTAAGAGATGGTAATTTTTTGTTTATTTGAACTTGAACTAATACATACGAAATAATGCTTATCAAATTGGTCCCAGATTTCAGTTATTTTGTATGTAACTTAGTTTTTCCTAAATTATTATTTTTGCTGTTGATATTGTGATTTTTGTTGCTTTAAGGTTTAACGGCAAGGGTTTGAATTTGCACATTACTTAGATAAGATAGAAAATGTAAATTTAACATGTGACTTAAAGAGTATACAAAAAGTTTTCCTGGTCAGGGTTAAGGTGCCATGAGTGTTACTGAATTGACCACTTCAATGAGGTTTTATTAGTTTGTGAGGATTCTTTTTGATATCTGTTATTAACATGTAATGTAGATCTATAAATAACTTTCAATCACAACTGCAGAAAAACACAAACAGTAGTTGAATAACAATAGATTTAATTAATAAGAATAAAATTAAAATTTATAAGAATGTTTTGTTTTTTTTAAGAATTGTTCTGTAAGCACTATAAATTAATGAAATAGATTTTGTTAATGTGAGTGATCGAATTTATATGCCTGTTTGGAAAAGTACAAGTTAAGGAACTGGAAATTTTCTTGTTGATAGCAATGGGTTGTAATATACTGAACTTTCAACTTATATATACAAAAAATGAAACCAATTCATTTAGATTGTTTATCTATGTGTATATTTATCATGTCGTAAACAAGGATTTGTAAAGTAAAAAAGTATAAATAAGAATGTTTTCTTAGTAGTATATAGAATGTGAAAAACAAATTTGCCTTATAACAGTATCCAAATCAAAAACACATTACTGTATGAGTATGGTTCCCAAAGATGTCACCGATTTGAGAATTTACATTTGTACCTGTTTGCATTTAAATAAATTGAAAATTTTCATTTTATTTGTATGTGCGTTAAACTTGAAATCATGATAAATATTCGATATTTCAGATATGTCAATAACTCTTTGTAAAAATTAAAAATAAAAATAAAAAAATGAGCCTTAAAGAAGGTTTAATAACAGTATTCAGAATGAAATTATGGGAAATTTATTTCTGTTTTATTATTAATGAAGATGACCTACTTGATGATCTATGTATGTATTGACTGGTCTGTTCAATTGTTTCTTTCTGCATTCTTCTGTCCACACCATCAAAGATTCTTAATTACATAATGGCATAGTAAAATTCTCATTTCATTTCATGATCCATATGATATTTTTTGTTTCTCATTGCATTATGAAACAAGAAGATATGCATCATCTTGTACCCACAACCCATCCTAAACCACAGACTACATTTCTTTGAATTTTCTTTCAAAATGCTATTGAGCATCTTCTGTTTTCTTATTTAGTTCATTTTTTATTAATGGATGTTGTCAAATCTGCATAAGGGGGTAAGGTATCTATATCCACAACTCCACCTTGTATCCTCACCTCCTCCTTGTATCCACAACTCCCCCTTGTATTTAAAACTCTTTCTTGTATCCACAACTCCTCATCTTATCCACAGTTCTAAACCACTGATCGGATTTAATCAAATTTCCACAGAATCTTATTTAAAAAGTACTATCTAGCACCTCCTGTTTTATTTATTATCTTTGATATTTTTGGGAATTCACATAAAAAATTGATTGCTTTATTTTTGCAAATTGAGGAGCATGGAATATCTTTGAGCTCTGTTGACAGTATTTGTTGTTCAGCTTTGTATTGTAAAATTGCATAAACAACCATGGAAAAAGATATGTTTGCTAAAGTCTTTGATACAATTACAAATAAGTTCAACGTCAGTCTTAAAAAGCTGAACTTCAGTACAAATATCTGATTTTAATGAAGAAACACTGATCAGATTTTTCAAATAAAGTAAAAGTTCTTGATATGCAATGTATATTTATATAGAAGGTTGAACCATATGTCTATGCTCTGAATCTGCATAGCAGTTGTTTAGACACATAAAATAATAGATATAAGACCTGGGGTAATTTTAAGTGTATAAGTAGAATATCTTTTAATCAGTTATGGTTTATATGTTTAACAAGCAGATAAATTATATTTCATATTTTTATTTAAGTATTTGTAATTTCGTCACGTACCACATCACATTAATTCAATGTTAATTTTACCTCGATTCATTGTTTAATTAAAATGAAAATTTACTGAGATTTGGCAAATTCACTGTACAATAATATTTTTTTAGAAGTGCTCAATAATATTTTTAGATTTTTATAATAAGACAGTATCATATAATTATATTTGATATAAAAATTGTACATTTTGTGATATTTG